ACTCCTTAGAAAGGGTTTATACCGCGTAAGCAGCTCGCCAGCCTCAGCTCCAGTATTGTTCGCTAAGAAGCCTAGGGGAGGGCTCCGACTGTGTATCGATTATCGGGCTCTAAATGCGATTACAAAGAAGGACCGGTATCCATTACCACTTATTCGAGAGACGCTCAATAGCTTAAGCAAGGCTAAGTGGTTCACGAAATTGGACGTTATCGCAGCCTTCCACAAGATCCGCGTCGCACCAGGCGATGAGTGGAAGACGGCCTTCCGTACGAGATTCGGATTGTTCGAGTGGCTAGTTACCCCCTTTGGCATGGCGAACTCCCCAAGTACCTTCCAACGATATATTAACTGGACCTTAAGAGAACACCTAGACGACTTCTGCTCAGCTTATCTAGACGACGTGCTAATCTATACCGACGGCGATCTGCGCCAGCATTGAGAGCATATCTAAAAAGTACTTAGTAAGCTACAAGCCGCAGGGTTACAAGTAGACATTAAGAAGTGCGAGTTTGAAGTTAAGACGACTAAGTACCTTAGGTTTATTATTAAAGCAGGCAAGGGGATAAGCATGGATCTAGCTAAGATAGCCGCAATTCGCGAGTGGGAGGCACCAAAGACAGTAAAGGGAGTAAGATTGTTCTTAGGATTCGCAAACTTCTACTGAAGGTTTATTAAGAACTTTATACAGCTAGCCGCACCTCTTACTAGACTTACAAGCAACGTCCCCTTCTAATAAGGACCTAAAGAGCAATTAGCCTTTAACAAGCTAAAAGAGATCTTTGTTATAGAGCCAACGCTAGCGGCGTTCAACCTAGATCGGGAGACAGTGCTCAAGTGCGATTCAAGCGGCTACGCGGTAGGCGGAGTGCTATCGCAGTATAGTGATAATGGAGTCTTACGACCTTGCGCGTTCTTCTTGCGGAAGAATAGCGCGCACGAGTACAACTACAAGATCTACAACAAGGAGTTACTCGCGGTAGTACGATGCCTTAAGGAATGGGACTCTGAACTGCGTTTAGTTAAGAAGTTTAAGGTGATCACAGATCACAAGAATCTAGAGTACTTCATAAAACCCCATATGCTAAACTAACGTTAGGTGAGATAGTCGCTTTTACTTGGTAGATATAACCTAGAGCTGCTGTATCAGCTGGGTAAGCAGAACGTGAGAGCTAACGCGCTCTTAAGAAGAGAACAAGACCTGCCCGTAGGGGCAGAAGACGAGCGCTTATAGAAGCGCTTCGTACAAATATTTAAGCCAACAAACTCCTATCAGGAGGTAACAGAAGAAGAACCAGAAGAAGCTATCTTAGTGATGGCAACAAGGACACGAAGCCAGCAGCGGGAAGAGGAGGCTATCCCCCTATCTAGAGAAGAATTAGATCAGCTCCTTCCTAGAGTACTAAATAAAAAAGTGCTAGAGTAGAATGAGTTAGAGAAGCTCTAGCAAGAAGCGACAGCGAAGGATTGTATCTACCAAGGAGCAAAGAAGGCAGTAGAGGACTAAGAGAGACGTTTCCCCATAAACTTAGGCCTAAAGTGCTCAATCGAAGACTGCTTAGCAGATAGTAGAGTCCTGTTTTACCAAAGGCGCAAGTGGGTGCTAGACAACAACAAGTTGCGAACGGCAATCATCAGCAGTGCCCACGACTCACTAGTCACTAGTCACCTAGGGCGCGAGCTAACGTACAAGATTCTCGCAAGGGACTACTTTTGGCCAGGCATGACCAATTCGATCTGAAGATACGTTAGAAACTATGACACCTGCGGACGGAGCAAGTCCTGGAGAGAGGGCACGCAAGGCCTTCTAAAACCACTGCCGATACCCACTCGGATCTGGAAGGAGATCTCCATAGATTTCGTCGAAGGACTACCAGAGAGCGAAGGCATGACTAGCCTGATGGTGGTCACTGACCGGCTTAGCAAGGGTGCGATCTTCGTACCGCTCCCGGATACGAAGACGGAAACCGTCGTCCAAAAGTTCATCGAGCGCGTGGTTGCATATCACTAGCTACCAGACGCTATTACCTCCGACAGAGGCAGCCAGTTCGTGAGTACACTATGGGCTAAACTATGCAAGCTTCTGAAGATCAAGCGGAGACTATCAACTGCCTACCACCCGCAGACAGACGGCGCAACAGAGAGGATAAACAGCGTCTAGGAAACCTATATCCAATCGTTTACAAACTAGGCTTAGGACGACTAGGCACGGCTCTGCCCGATGGCCTAGATTGCGATTAATGGCAGGAATGCAACGTCGACTGGAATGTCACCCTTCTTCTTATAGCATGGACATAAGGTAGAGCTGCTGCAGCTAGAGCTTGGCAACGAAAGACAACAACGGAAACTAGCTGAACAGCTTTCAGACGAACAGAAAGTAGCAGAGATCGCGGTTAAGCTACAACAAGCCGTAGAACTAGCCTAGGCAGGCATGGCGGTTGCTTAACAAGAACAGGAGAGACAGGCGAACAAGACTTGGAGAGAGGCACAGAGCTACCGAGTAGGCGACAAGGTATGGCTGAAGCTCGATCAGCAGTACGGCACAGGGCGAAGCTTAAAGAAGCTCGACTAGAAGAACGCTAAGTATACAGTGGTGAAGGTAATCGATAGCCACTCAGTTGAATTAGATACGCCTCCAGGACCACACCCTATTTTTCATGTTAATTAGTTAAAACTCGCTAGCAACGATCCCCTCCCAAACCAGGTTCAGGACGACTATCAGCCACAGCCACTACAGGTAGACGGAGAAGATGAATAGGAGGTAGAGGACATTATGGCAGAAGAGGTACGCCGCCGTGGGAGAGGGCGTAAGCTATACTACGAGGTGAAATGGAAAGGGTTCCACCAAACGACGCTCGAACCAGCTGAGCTGCTAGAGGACGCTGAGGCAGTAGATCGTTAGGAAGCATTCACGGAGGCCAAACGAGACAGCGAGGGCCGCCTCCTAGAGGGGTTTCGAAGAGGCGATGCGGTATCCCCTAAGGAGGGGGGTATTGTAACGGGCTGAACGCCCTTTGGATAGCTCCTCGATGAAATCTCGGGCCAAGCTGCGCGCGCACCATCTAAACTACGTTCAGACCAAGCAGCGCTCAGACAACGCGCTCAGATACTCCAGCATAACCTTTCTCCGATAAGTAAATAAACACCACGTAAGCAGAGTAGATAGCTCCTTATCGAATACAACCTCTTGTATACCTCGCGATTGCTCCCTGGAGCGCAGCCCCTTACATTATTAATATATTAGCTATCTTTTATTACTAGTAGTTACTACTATATAGCTATATTACTATAAGTTATAGAGAATACTACTAATATCTTAGCTAAGCGCGCTATGCCTGACTTTGGCTTAGCGGGCTTATTAGTAGGTTAAATAACAAATTATTGGTAGGTTGTATAACCGCCGCCGTAATCAATAAGCCATCGTCATGTCTGTGCGGGCGTCTCTTTTGCATGGTCCTGAGATATGCCCACCGACGGTCAGAAAGCGATTACGTCTTCGTACACGTTATCATCCATGCTCTCTGCCTCTCCTCCAGCCACTGGATCAGACTCTGGCCCATACGTTTGCTGCGAACAAAATCCCCGCTGCTCCAGGAGTTCGCTGACGCGTCACACAAAGCCCCGCCACTAAAAATTAAAATTAAGACTGTTCGTACTTGCAAGCAACTTCCATGTTATGCTTGGCGTGGGCGAAGTTTATGAAAGCTTTGTCTCCAATGTGCGTTAGTTCGCGCGACTACAAGTTCTCACTCTACGACAGATTGGGTGAGGGTATTTTAGGCACTGGGCGAGGCGATACACCAGCCAGCGGCCACGGCCTCCCATTCACCAGCCAAGCGAGATGGGCGGAATGCAGGCGGCCTGTGTGGCGGCTGCTAAAATGCCCTGCCGCTATTCACGCTTGCTTTTATGCCACCCGGGTTCACTTGTTTCTTTTTTCACTTCACCCAACATGTCAAGATCCACATTCTGGAACAACAGGAATCAATACATTACGAAACAGGTAGCAAATTCGGCGACTTGAAGTCGCTAAGGTTCATGACCTAACGCTAAGAGGCATGACATGGGAAGCCACGTGACCAAGATGACTGTATTGTCATCAGGGGCAGGGGCGCACAGGCCATGGCACATCACTGTGAAAGCGGCTGAACACGCTCTCGTATAATCTCCTCCAACCTCGCCTCCATTTCCCTTTTCTGCGAACCAAAGTCGTCCATGATGACACCCTGCATGTTTTGCTCCGAGGCCTTGGACACCGCAGCGCCCCGCATCGTCGCGAAGTCACCAAACCGTTCCCATAAACCCACACGAATCCGCGCAAAACCCCCGCTACCATATTCTAATTGTTTAACAATGTCATCGTGAAACTTGCCAATCATGGATTGCTCTCCTGGCTCTGGTGCTGTAGCATCGGCGCAATCTCCACACGTGGCGCCATCCCACTTATGAATAAGAGAATGCAGTAGTTCGAGGAAAGCTACATTGTCTTCAGCCAACACCGCTGTTTCTTGCGTGTCATTGTGGAGCAGCACTGCTACGCCAAAGTCGACAATCTTTACCTGTGGTAATCCCGATGGTACTGCATCTGGGAATCCGACGACGATATTGCCCAGGTGCAGGTCGCAATGAACAATGGTCGGATCACAGACGCCGTGAAGGAATTCAAGTCCTTGCTGCAGCTGCGTAAAGCATACCCATAGAAAATCTTCAGGCATCTCTCCTAGGCTCCTGAAACCCTCGAGGGAGAGACAAATCGGAAAGGTTGAGGTTGCCATCCAGGCTACTGACGTGTCATCAATATCGTATGCAAGTAGCTGGAAGAATTGCGACTGCGTGTTTCCAGTAGCCTCGACGCTTTCCCCGATGGCTTTCATCCTCGCCACTTCGTTGTGCAGCGTGGGCGCAAAATATCCAGTCGACCGTTTAACAGCTACAATCTTGTTGACCAGCTTCTTGGAAAGCTCTTCCGCGCTGTCTGAGGTGTCTGCGCATGCTTCCACGATTTCGTCCTGTGATACACAAAAGTAAACTTCTCCAGACACTCCTTTTCCGGCTCTACTTACCAAGACGTACTTGTCTATCGACTCAATCGACATCTTGCTGGTAAATATTTACTCTGAAAGGGATCTGACGCGCTGTTGTTCCGTGGGTGATATCGCAAATCTGGAATGTCGTTGGACGGGCCAGCTGATGGATGAAGGGGGTTGAGCAACTAAATCCCCGTATGTATATCATACTCTGATACGCTTCGGGATCTTAGAAAGGCGATATGAGAAGGATAACATTGTGAGGTAACAAGCTTGTTGTGCGGTAACTATCCAATATCAATAACATTCGTACAATGCATGTGCGAACGGCCGACTACACAGCACCTTGTGTCTCTTTGTTCGAGTCAAGCTTCCGTATATCGAGATAGCTTGCGTCAAGCCTCTTACAACGAGTTATCCATGGACTCTTCCTTGAATAAAACCTTGCCCACTGCTGTTTTATTTTTCCACGTCTTCCCGTTACACGTTGTCTCTATGATATGCCGTGATTCCCTCAACCTAACAATTAGTATCTCCAGGAATTTGGACGCAAGATGAAAAGCCTAGGATCTTCTCAATTCAACCGCATTAGATATTTTCCCGTCACGAAAGATGTATTGACCCATCACTCTTCTCATGTTCCTCCACACAACTCCAATACTAATTTTCTCAAGAACAACAATCTCTCGCCTATCTATTTGCCAAGCAGTAAGAAAGTCAAACTTACCACGTTTGTTTGGAGGCAATATATACTGTAACATACTCACATGTCATATGCTTCGCCTCTTGCCTCTTACCTCTTAGTCCTGGCAAATGTATGAAGCTGAACAATGTATGAATAGCGACATGATGTACCACCAGAACCTGAACCCTACACGGCTCGAATATCTGTCCGTTCAACAAAAAATTTTCAGCGCAATAGATAAGAGTCAATTTTAATAGTGGTAGCTATTCCTACACATGAATGCCTGGAAATCTATGTATAACCCTTGATAGGTCACCTTTTGCAAAGCCGAAGCAATGCAAAGGCAGAATGAAACACCTAGTTTGTCGAAGGATTGTCAATCTAGAAATGACTCTGTTTCTGGGCTTTCACTGAAGCATGCGAGGGAAATCCTACAGTACATCATCAGCCGCGTCCTGGTGCGAGCGTGAAGTGGGGCCATGATATCATATTTTAACATCATACCACATGCGCCAACGACCAGCCCTGCCACAACCATCAACTTGACAAAACACCACAATGGCAAGCACCGATTCAGAAGCTTGTGTGCCGACAAAGCGAGAGCAATTCTCCCAAGCCTCTTCAACGCAGCTTTTAAAACCCCAGGACCAAACCAACGACCTGTACACGATCCAAGAAATCCACGCCTACTTCTGGGGTAAGGATTCCGCATACGACGACACACACGACGCTACTCTACATGCTTCAGCGGAAACCCCCGAAAAACTAGCCTGCGTACTGCTGTTCAGTGGTGCAAACCCCAAATGGAATGAAAATGGCGTTATATTCGTCAAGAGCAATCTCGACTTGCTACCGGGCATCAAAGCGCCTTCACTGCCTATGTCAAGTACTAATGACACAGCCAGCGCGCCGTGTGCTAAGCCAGAAGATAGTAGCAGTACTTCGGCAGCACAGCAGCTGAAAGAAGGCTTCCCCGAGGACCACGCTCCCATCGCCATGTTCACGCAACCCATCCGCGGAGCCAATCGCTCGTTCCAGTTCCTCGGCTGGTACAAAATCAACCGGCTGCAGCTGCTGGAGCCGGGATCCGAAGATCTCGTTCGCAGGTTGAGCAAGAAATGGGAGACGGTCGATCGGTTGGGTCGCGTGGTGCCCAGGCAGCGGGACCTGAAGAAGTGGAAAGAGAGCATGTCGTATAGGTGGGCTGTGATTAAGATGGAGAGGGATGAGGAGGCGGAGAAGGAAAGGGGGTATCCGAAGATCGAACGGATTGATGAGGATGATGGTAATGATGGAGAGGGTCAGTGACATGTCTGTCTGTACATACCACAGTTTGAACACGGAGAAAATGGGGTTATGAAAATAAATGGTATATTAATTAAGAGCTATGATTTGAAACACGAGTTTCTGAATATACGCTACTACAAGCTCACCCATAGAGACTTCTCGCCTCCTTGGGCGCCCCCTCGAACATCCTAGCTATTTCATCCGTCGCATTTTCAGGCCACTTTTTACCTTCTTTCTCCGCCTTTTCCGCCTCGAGCATCCACTCGCTCCACTTGCGCACCGACTCCTCGAGCGACGCCCAGCCAGCCCCATTCTTCATCCTCTTCAGCAGCTCCTCAGCATGCGTGTTATCCACAGTCCCGCAATCCAGCACCTCGTCGACGCGCCCGAGAAACTGGTGGTCTGGCGCTATCTTGCGGAAAATGTCTAGCACGTCGTTGTAGCAGTAGGGCGCTGCAATCGCCAGGATACGCTCGTTCTGCACGTCGGGCTGCGTCAGCGCTGCGAGGTGCAGCAGCGCGGTGTCCTCGACGTCGACGAACCACTGCGGCGGAATGAGGTCAACAGACAACGCGTTGCCGCACCACAACACCTTGAGCAGGGCGGCGGAGCTACCGAAGCCCGTCATGTCGGGCCGCACAGCCGTGCCAAAATTGACATTGGGCAGCACAGTGTTGAAGGTAAAATGTGGCTTGTGTTCGCGCACCCATTGCCAGCTCTGTTGCTCGGCTTCTGTCTTGGCACACATGTAGTTGAAGATCATGCGGCGGAAGGTCGGGACCACGGGCATGTCCCACGCGGCTTTGCTTTCTTCGTTCCACGAGTCCGGCGTGACGTGGTATTTCTTGTTGGCGGTGAGCGTGATGGCAGCGGCTTGGCTGCTGGTCCAGACTATGTTTTTCACGCTGGGTTCTTTGGCGGCCGACTCGAGGAGAGACAGGGCGCAGCGTATGCCGGGTGGGATCGCGGCCTGCGGATCGGGGTTATAGGCCTCGCTGGTGGGGGACGCCATGTAAGCGATGCCGTCACAGCCTTTTACTGCTTCGTCTAAACCGCCGGGAGACGACATATTGGGGACTTCGATCAGAGAAAAGTTGTGGCCATAGTGCGGGGGCATCCACGAATGAGCTGATGCATTGCGGACGGTGCCGCGGACGCGGTAGCCAGCGTCAAGGAACTTTTGGATGGCGACACCGGCGAGGTATCTGGAAACATGTGTTAGTATATGGTAGATTGGCTAATCAGGTCTCGTATACCCGTTTGCGCCTGTTACAAGAATAAGACCTCCTGGTTGGATGACCGGCATGTTGAAGTTTTGCTCAGTGGCTTATTCCCAGTATGGATCAGAAGAAATCCGCGCTGGCCATGACCGTCTTATATGCACTGATACATGTCTGGGGGTTTTCGATTTCATCCAGTAGATCATTGATACCAAGCCAGTTGAACAGGCGATTCATGGTCTCACTCCGCTACCCAGTAAGGCAGAGATGGAGACGAGGCTGCTTACACTTGGCAGCAAGGCGTTCAGCTGAATAAGATGGAAGATAAGCCGTTGAACAGTTCAGTCTGACCGGATGATCAGAATAACATGGTTATTCCATACCAGCCAGCAAACTACACGTGTTGGGGGTCAGCTTCAAGACTCGGGTACCGCCCGGTGTTGAGGGCTCAGACAAGTAAACCGGCTGTATGAGTGCCGGAGCAGCTGCAAATCAGGAGATGTGAGCAACAGGCAGCGATGGAATACGCAATGTGCATTCTACGAACCTCGGATGTTTGTGTCCAACACCATCATACGACTGGTAGTATAGAGACTCTGCTTTGGTCCCGAAGTGCAATACCTTGCGGATGAGAGGACTTGTACGAGTGACCCGGGAATAGTAGAACGCTAAGTAAAACAGTATTCGACAAACCAAGACAACCCCTTGGTACAAGCAAGGGCTTTTAACAAATACGACGCAAGGAAGTCTGCAACTGGTCGAAAAGACGCACGAAAGACGGCCGAACCTCGGCTGCGGAGTTGGACGCGCTCTGATTGGTGCGTCTGCGGAGGAGGTCGCGATCGATTGTTTGATTGGTTGTACTCCTGAAATTAACGTTCAAAAATAGACCCCATCCAGCATCAGGACTGGCTAAGCCCAGAGTTGAGATGCCGTTCATTAGACCCGGCTTCTCTTGTTGTCTTCGTCGGCGGGTTGAGCAAGGCTGGCTCATCACGAGGAGGTGGCGATGGTGGGGTAAGTAGCGGGATTATTTCCGTAGGGCCCACCACGGCTATCTTTCATGGCATTTGGTATTATTGCTGACGCCAGTCAGCCTTAACCCCTCTTTATCCCAGCTCGTCATTCCCTATCGAGGCATTGCTGAATTGAAACAGACCCAATCGCGCCGTCTCACCAAAGCATCACCACCAACAATGAGCACCTCAATCCCCACAACGCAGACGGCCGGCTGGATCCAAGACCCGGGCCCAGACTGCGTTCTTCAGATCCGGAACGATGTCCCTGTACAGACTCCCGCTGCAGGCGAAGTCCTCGTCAAGATGGAATACAGCGGCATCTGCCACTCCGACTGCCACAATCTTGCATGGCCAGGCAAATACACCGAAGTTCCTGGTCACGAGGGCGTCGGCACTGTAGTATCGCTGGGGCCGAATGTCTCGTCTGACCTGCTGGGCAAAAGAGTAGGCATCAAGTGGTTGTGGAATGCGTGCAAGCAGTGCAGTAGCTGCAAAAAGGGCAAGGAGAACCATTGCGGCAAGCAGAAAAACACGGGCAGGAACACCTGGGGCACGCTGCAGCAATACATTGTTGCGGATGCGGATTTCTTGACGCATATTCCAGAGGGCCTGAAGAGCGAGATTGCTGCGCCCCTGCTATGTGCAGGATTGAGTCTTACGGGCGCAGTGTCCAAGTTGGAACCCGATTTGCAAAAGGGCGACTCTGTGGTTATCGTTGGTGCGGGAGGCGGCCTGGGCCATATCGGAGTCCAGATTGCGAGCATCAAGGGATACAACGTCATTGCCGTTGACAGCGGTGCCGAGAAAGAGAAGCTGTCAAAGGAGATGGGAGCCACGACGTTCATTGACTACGCCAAGCAAGATGTTGTCAAGGCTGTCAAGGACCTTACCGACGGTGAAGGCGCACACGGTGTCATCTGTGTATCGGGAAGCGAACAAGCGTATACTCAAGCACCCAGTCTATGCAGAACTAGCGGCGTGTTTGTCTGCGTTGGCCTGCCACGGGACACTTTCATGTTCCCCATGAGTCCCATTCACATCAGTAACAGTGGTATGTTGCTATTCCGTCGAGCTCCCCGGATTTCAACGCTAACCAAGAAAAAGGCCTAACCATCCGCGGTTCGTCGACTGGTAGCGCCAAGCAAATGGAAGAGCTGCTCCAGATGGCTGTCGAGGGCAAGATAACACCCAAGGTGGAGGTGTACGATTTCGCTGACTCGCCCAAAATTCTCCAAGAACTGAAGCGGAATGAGGTCACGGGAAGAAAGGTGGTACGGGCGCCTTAAGAGGCCATGTGAGTTGAGTTGATTGACAGCGGTTGAGCGTGTGCATTGCAGTGGAGTGGTGAGTAACGCACGTTACGGAGTTGTTGCGTTGGTGCATAGCGAGGCGGCGTATGTGAGAGAGGCAGGAGTAGACAAGCCTTTCGGATGCTCTAGGCGAGTGTAAACAAATCGATTGTTGTTCAAATTATGGCGTCTGGCAGCACCCACATTTTCCCGACTATCCAACGGGTATTCGCACCTTGCTTCCAATCACTGGTTAATACCAGGTCCCACCCTCCTCGTTGGACGTTACATTTTGCGGGTTCATGCTCATGATTCGTTGTCCGGGAATGGTATCTGTAAACGCGCTTTCAAACACGCCGCTCACGGCTCTCCGCCCAATCTCCTTGAAGCTGTCATAGTTGTCGTTGTCCCCCGTTATGGCGCTCCACTGTGCATCTTCTGTGCTACGTGCAGTTCCCAAGTCACTCCAGCGCGTGACCACGAGTGCTTGTTTGAAACGGCCTGTTGTGTTGGTGCGAACAGATCTATCTTCAACGAGCTTGAGATCAAAGAGATACTCTGTAGGGCATTTAGGACACCGGCGCATGGGCTGGCATACAGAACACAAAGGCACCTTCCCAGCAATCTTCTTCCCAAGGTTGCGTTCTCGGAACTTATCGAGGGCCGTGGTATCCGCTTCGGTAGAATGAGGTATGTGTGATAGTGCGCATTTAGGAATGGAGGTTAGAAGACCGTGTTTCCAATGCGAGCATACGCTAAAGTACGGGGTGTAGTCGCCCCTGCTGAAGAGTAGGAGACGCTTCGCAGCGTCGGTCATGCCGCCCTCAACGTGGTGCTGGGAGCGGACTCGCATCAGAAAATTACCCTTATTTGTAATGTGGTAAGTGGTTTCGTGGCTCCATTCTGAGTACGAATCTTTCCAACGGCGCGCAAGAGATTGATGCGGAATGCCATACTCGGGTCCGTAAGCCCAGTGGCGGCGGGCTAGCTGCACGAATGCGAATGGCAGGGTACGCCCATCGGTGATGCGAATACGGGGAGGTGGCATATTGATGTTCGTCATATTCGGACATTCAAAAAGAGGATTGACAACGTTCTGTGGCTTCAACGACTCAAACCCGGGCTGGATACGTAGGTGCCATTGAGCGCATGGGAAACAGAACAGATGACGCGGCATCTTGGAATCCATGGCTAGCAAGAAGTCCAGCCGGTGGAGGCGGTGCTCCGGGTCCAAAAGTAGTTTGTACGGATGCTGGCCCAGTCGAGCATACATGGTTCGGCACGTCGAAGACAGATTGGCAACATCCAAAGGCGATAGAAAATCAGCAATTCGAAGCCATACTTCGGGCGATGCGCTAGCGAGGAGCGCCGTTCCGTCCGGCCGTGAAGGGTCATAGAGCAGGGATTCGTCGTCACGCTCCTCCTCGACGGTGTCTATGCCTTCCACGTACGTGAAGGCATGCATCATCTCGGTGAGATCTTTCCTCTCTCCGGTGTCCTTGTCGAGAATGTCATCTGGTCTTACACGCGCCGAGGGTGCTCGGTGCGCCTTGCTGAGTTTCGACGGCTGCGTTTTTGGTGGTGCATACGGGAGAGCCTGTCCGCCCTGAATCTGTGGCAGCGATGCCGACCGGCCTTGTCCTGGATACACTGGCACAGCATACTGCGGCTGTCCGTCTGAGTTGCGACGGTAATCGGCATCCTGCAGATCAAAGTGGAGACGGGCGTTGCTTGTGTCGGCATAAGCATTGATGGCCGTGTACGGATTATCGCGCAATGCATGTGGCGCAACTCCAGCCAGGTCGTCAAAGGTCGGAAGTCCAAAGCTACTTGCCGTTGAAGCGTTTCTCTCGTTTGTGAAACTGCCGGAATCCTGGCGAGTGGCCTTGGCCTCATCGGTAGTCGAATCAAGCTTTGCGAGTACATCGCTTCGTGATCCTTTCTTGGATAGCTTCTTCCGCGCCCCTTGCTGCTTTGGCTCTTTGCTTGGATTAGATCGCATGCCAAACATGGCTCGAAGGCCGCTCTTCTTCTCTCGCTCTGCCATGCTGGGAATGGCTGCTGTAGAGGGCCGTGTGCGGCGGTCGCGTTCAAAACGAAACAGGCCAAAGCGTTCCTCCGGCCCCAGGAGTCGTAAGGCACGTTGGCGTGTGAATCGATTGCCTCTACACGAGAAGAGTGTTTGTCAAAAGATTGAAATTGCCGCAATATGTATGACGATCGTCACCGCTGGTAGCGCGACACAGCGGTTCGCTCCGGCAAAGATCCGACGCCATCCGCCACTGAACCTTCTTTCTTGCAGGATCTAGTTTGTGGATATGCATGTCATCATGAGAAACGGCGTATATGCGGGAGGTGATAGTCTCGTCCTTTTCAACGTCAGGTTGTCTTGCCTGGCGGCTGCGTGTCGCGTGGCGAACGCGAAACATGCACGTGCATCGATCACGTGATGTAAGCGGTAGACAGATGTCATTCGATGTTTGCTTTTTGCTCGTCTGCTGTGGGCAAAATCCTACTGGCGTGTGAGAGGCACCCAATCTTAGCATCATCTTCTCCATCAAAGCCATACGTCTGGGGTCGAGAATATCTAATGTATCTCCACTACTACATTCACCCTACACTAGGTCTCAACTTGACTATGACCCCCTTTCATGAAGCATCGGTTTTGAAGTCACCTGATCATCAACAGATGGCTTGTACGATTATACGATCCTCACCAAGCCCCTGAAACAAAATTATGAATATTCTAGACATTGACTGCACTCGTGAACCTAGCATTCTTTGTCACCACCAGACTTCTACACCACCCACTCACAAATCCTCACTTGGCCACCCGTCTTCCCGCAAACGCACAAGTCCCACCACCGCAAGCCTCATCAAAGTTGACTCCAGATCCGCCCGCTCGCGCACTCCCAGCAATACATCCGTTAAAATCGCATCCTTGTCTTGTTCCTTATCCAAGTTCGGGCCGAGCCAGGAGACGAAGAGAAGAAACAACTCCATGTTGGTTTCCACAAACAGGTGGTCTGACTTGGCCATCTTGGAAATGATTTGCGTCTGAACTCGGTACGACATGCGTAGGGATTGAGTCATTGTTCTGGACAGGCCGTAGAGAAAATGTACTAGTGGCACGCTCCAGCTTGGTTTCTGGATGTCGGCATCGAAGTCGGATTGGATGCGGGTGAAGAGGTAGCGCCGGACGAGGCGTGGGCCGACGAATGCGACGCCGTTCTTGTCAAGGGCTATGTCTGGGTCGCTCAGTGTTTGTGGGATGCGCTCGGAAAGCATGGCGAGTAGTTTCACGGCCATGTCGGCCCAGTGCTCGCTTTGCATAGCCCTGTGGTAGATGACTTCGATGGTCATCCTCAACTTTGTCGTGTCTGTACCGATGGCCTCAACTATTTCGTCCATGACTTCCTCGGCCTTTGTCGCATCGAAGACGATGGGGACAAGCGGATCGATGGCTGCTGCTGTCATGAGCCGGAAATCGCCAAGAGACATTTCGCTTGTAGCCGAGTCGGGAGTGTGCATGGCTTCTTCACTGCTGGTAGACATGATGGGTTGTGATGGTCGTTGACATCAAGGAAGTGGAGAATTAAATACCAAAATATGTTTTACATGAGAGACAAACTGGCTTGCTGACCTGCATCTAGGAGATTCTTGTCTAGCTTTCAAGAAACCAAGCAGCTGCATGCCATGTCTTGGTACTTATTCATGCTTGTACTCAGCTTCTCCACCTCCATGTCGAATTTCTCGCGATCATATAGTCTTTGCTTTGTATTGACTTCCAGATACCCCAGAACCCGCCCAATGGCCAGATGTTCCTCAGTCGGAGTCCCCAGTCCTTGTTTGCCATCTCCGTGTACTTTCCAACATCAACATGTACTTTATCATACACTTCTGGAAGCATCTCGGCGTTGTACTTCTTTCTTAGCCCTTGATGCCATTTGCGATCAAACTGCGCCCAGAACTCGTCTTTGCTATAGTATGTTTGTGCATACAGCCACTTCATGCCGCCCATCTCCCCAAGCGTCTTCTCGAGCGCGCGGTTCTTCTGGAGATAGGTAGCGGGATCGCTGGGTCCAAAGCCCCAGAGACCAATGTTCAGCATTTGGTCTGATTTGAGAGCGCCTTTGGTATGTGGGTGCATGGTCGGTTGCGGGCTTTGCTTGAGCGGACAGAGCCACAGCGGCCAGATGTTGAACGTTTTGTCTGTGTAGTCGATGAACTTCTCAGCATTTGGGTAGGGCAACGCCATGTCCTGCACAATATAGCGTGTCGCAATTCCAGATGCGTGTAGAGCGCGGTAAAGCATGCGCGTATGCAGGAAGTCATCGAGGAACCATCGTGTGTACTTGTTGAAGGGAAAGCGCATGTAGCTGAAGGCTGACCGACCAACCCAAAAGCCACCACGGTCGTAGCGGAACATGTACTCTGCCAACGGGATGTATTCCACGACTGGCTCGTTAGAGTTTCGTGTTGCTGCCTCCACGTGGAGATAGAACCATGGGTCCCAGGGATTGCTGAAAGTCTGCGGTTTGGTACCCGCAGGGAGTTGGTCTGTCATTTCGCCCGTGACGATAGCACCGTGATCTTTACTGAACAGCACGCCATCCACGTAATCATTTCGCGAACCATCTTCGCCCTCGGTATGCTCTTTGACCTCTTTGACAGCTTGAGCAACACTGCGGGTCGGATAGTATGTGGTCTTGACATACTTCTTGGCCTCGATAAGATTCAGGTCTACAAGAGTAGTGACACCAAGAGTACCGACTGCGCCAGCAGCGCCCCGGAACAAATCTTCTTTCTCTTTTTCGCTTGCCTTGATGATCTTGCCGTCGGCCATGACCATTTCCACCTCGTTGATGGTGCGGTCAAAGAAGCCGAACTTGAAGCTGCTGCTCTCGCCTGCTGTTCCTGCGTACCCACCTCCTACAGTGATGCCAGGGAATTCCATGACAACAGGCGGCACGAGACCATGTGGCAAAGTCGCCTCCACCAACCGATCCATGGGCACATTGGGCTCCACAAGCGCCTTCTTGTTCTGAGTGTCGACTTGGATGACATTTCGTAGAGCGCTTATGTCAACGACATGCTTTTTTAGGTTCGGGCGTGTGCTGTTCGTGGAGCCATGTGATATGCGAAATGGCTCTTTTCGTGTGAAATAATCCTTGACTTTGGACGCGACTTGCGCGACAACGCGCTGGTGACGGTCCATGCTAAAAAGCAAAGGAAATCGAAGTGTCTGGGGGAGATAGGTTTTATTGATACATGATGTCTATGGGTCATGGATTATGATTGGAGATGCTGTTGGTAGACAACGTCGGTGAGTGCGCAGATTTTCTCCGATGCGCTAAACTTCACTCGCTCGGCTAGCCCCTTTGCTCCGTATCCAACTCAGACTCGGTCTCAGTTCCGTGAGCGACCTCGCACTTGCAGCTCTTTAAGGTTACCTTGCTCATCCCGCGCTGACTGCTGCCATTGTGCAAAGGCCCGGTCGGGTTTCCCAAGATGACTTGCGCCGCCCAGACCAGATCCTGCACGAAGCTTGCGGAGGTGAAGTACAACCACTACTTCGTGTCCTCCGCAGCAACACTTACCCCCACTTTCAGCCTTGCTGTCTTGTACCTGACTATGCCCTTTTGCCATCATACGGCATTCGTTATCGCAAACTCTATTGACTACGTGCCGGAGGGTTACATCGGCTTTGCATATGCGGGGCGAGGCGACATTTGACAGCACTGCCAAGCGACCTTGGCTATTGGCATAAAGAAGCATCTGTCTTGTTCATTGACTCTTTTTTGAACGACTGTTTTACGCCCACGATGGTGTCTCTATTAGGGTGGCTTCTACTGCCACAATTGGTCGCGGCGCTGCAGTCTCTCCCACCAATCCCACCGGCAAATAAAAGCGGCCTTGGCTTCTCGTTGAGCAAACATGGCGCAAAGATATACATTGACAGCGCCTTTGCTGACAAGAGAGATTCTGAAGGCCTTACGCTGATACCACCAAGCGCTGAAGAGTTTGCTGAGACGTTCCGCGCAGATCTGTCATCATTGCTGGGTGGTCAGTGGACACTGGAGCGTGTTGATGAGCTCCCGTCAGCCGGAATCATCCTAGGACCTTTCCGGGGAAATAAGAATCAACTGACTTATGAGAACGGAGTCGCGACAGAAGAAGGGTATGAGCTTGATGTTGGCAATGGCAGCATCTACATTGGCGGGACTGGTGCGCGAGGCATGTTCTGGGGTACTCGGACTGTGCTCCAGGAATTGCTCATAAAGAATGGATCATTGCCATGTGGAAGCATTGTTGATGCGCCGGCATACGCAACACGTGGATATATGCTTGACGCCGGGCGGAAGTGGTACGCCAAGGACTTTCTCAAAGAGCTCTGCTCGTACGCCTCATTCTTCAAAATGTCAGAGTTTCACTACCACTCGAGTGACAACTACCCGTTGAACCGTGGCCACAACGAGACCTGGCAGGACGTATTCTCGCATTTCTCGCTGTACCCAGAGGAGAATACAGAACTCCGAGCAATCATTCAGCGCCCCAACGAAACACTATCACGCGCCGACTTTGAGGATTTCCAACGCCATTGCGCACAGCGCGGTGTTACTGTCATTCCAGAGATTGAGGCGCCGGGCCACGCGCTCGCAATCACAAAGTGGAAGCCAGAGCTAGCCTTGGATAAGAAGGACCTGCTAAACCTCAGCCATCCCGATGCAATCCCCACGGTGAAGGCTATATGGACTGAATTCCTACCATGGTTCCAAACGAAGGAGGTGCATATCGGCGCCGACGAGTACGACTCTGATCTAGCTGACGACTACATCAATTTCGTCAACGAAATGGAAGATTTTATCAAGAGCACGTCTGGGAAAGACGTCCGTATCTGGGGCACATATGAGCCATCCGAGAACCTTACCATTTCCAAGGACATCATCATCCAGCACTGGCAGTACGGCCAATCCGACCCCGTAGCGCTGCAAAACGACGGCTACGACATCATCAACTCGGAGGACTGGTGGGCATACATGAGCCTCAAAAATGACCATATGCCCATCCTGCCAGCGCCGTACCCCCAGTTCTACAATGTCACTCGCACCCTCGACTTTGCCAACGTGCCAAACTGGCAGTGGGAGCCCTCGCTATACAACCCTTTCAATACCACGCAACAGCTGCAGCCAGGCGCCAGAGGCAACAAAGGCGCTATCCTAGCTGCGTGGAACGACAACGGCCCAGACGCAACCACCCAGCTCGAAGCCTACTACGCCATGCGCGACGGCATCCCCGTCATGGCCGCGCGCGCCTGGTCCGGAGCCCGCGGGGAAAAACTCAACCCAAACTCCCTCGCAGACAGCATCGCATTCCTCGTAAGCACCCTCCCCCGTGAAACCACACAACAACCCGCTAACACAACCATGCCCAGGCCCGCAAAGCCCCAGCCCAAAACCTCGACCGCCGCATCTCACACCCTCCTCCAGCATACCCGCCCTCGCCACGCATCTTCTCCTGGGCCCCGACGCGCGCCCCGCAAAACAGCATAAACACTACGCTAGATCTGCCTCTAGAACTGGGTTCCTACGGTCCCCCCTACACACTCACGCTAAATGCCTCCTCGCCATTTACGCTCTCGGGTCCAGACACCGCGCTGTCTCTGCATGTAGAGCCTGAAAACCCCAACAGTAGTAGCAATAGTAGCAACAGTGCAACTGCAACACTCACTTTCACAACCGCAGATCACATGCCCTACCCGCTGCGCGCCGTGTCTTTACACGACAGCCAGACCGGCCGTATCTGGACGAACGCAACTGCCTCTTCGCATGTACCCGTTGCGATTAGGTTGCCGGCGGTGCTGCGCGTTGAGACGGATGTGCATCGCGGCAGTCGGGTGTGGGTCGACGGCGTGTTTGCGGGCCGCTTCGAGGTGTTTGTGTTTGGGGGGCGGAATACGCTGTTTAGCTGGAGTCAGATGGCGTTTGTGGCGCCGGTGGGGGGTGTGCTGGGGGGTGTTGAGGGCGTGGTGTTGGAGGAGGGGGTGAGTGAGTGAGTGATGTGGGAGGTTGTTCGCTGTATGATTTCTTCTTGTATTCTTTTTTTTTCGTTTTAATATTCAGTTGTGTAATAGTAATAGTTTGATGTTAATTTACACGTGCATGTCTTGATCGCCTCCGCATTATGAGGTGATTTTTTTTACATTCTTGTTAACGTGTCAAGTCATTAATATGTCGCCGTCAATCTCTGCACTATATAATCCCCACTCAAAACATCGCCGTACTTCCTGCCCGCCTGCTCATACGTGCCCGGGATAGCCTCGATACTGCGCTCGTAGTTGGGGTTGCAAAAGTAGGCTATCGAGTACCGCGGGGGGTACTCATCCTTATCTGCATCTTCTGGCTTTGGCGGCGGCTCGACAACACGGTGCTTTGTAGATTTGATGGTGTCGTTGGACCAGCGCGCAAGCAGATCGCCTGCGTTGACGACAATGGTGCCTTCAATGGGCGTGGCGTTGACGAAAGTGCCTTTTGGCGAGCGGACCTGGAGCCCGCCGCGGGAGTCCTGGAAGAGCAGCGTTACTGAGCCTGTGCGGATGTTAGTGATTGGGTTTTCCGAGAAACTGGAAATGGTGGTACTTACCGTAATCGCTGTGTTCTCCTGCGCGAACCTGCAACTGCCCGTCGTTCCTCTTAAAGACACTCTTGGATACACCCGGGTAGTGCAGTAATCTCAGCGTATTGTCGCCGGCATCTGTGAAGCCATCAAACCACTTCTCGTCGATTCCCATGCCGAGCGCAATCGCACGCATGACGTACATGTGCAGCGTCTTGCACGTCTCAAAGAAAGCCATCATCTGCTCCCTAAACACCTTGGCCTCGTCGTCTCCACTGGGCCACATATTGGGCCACTCAGGTTGATCATCACGCCCAATTTCCATGCTCTCCTTCAGATCTGGAATTAGTGCGCGCATCTGCGCCTCTGTGCCCGTCTCCTCTAGCACCACGAGCTTCTCGCGTCCTTGGGTCACGTAGCCGCGGTTGGCAACAGCCGAATACCATGCCAGCGCATCTTTCTGTTCCTGGGGTCTGGCAAAGAACTTGGCCGAGTGGGAAAAGACTGTGGATACTGTGGACTCGGGGATGCCGTGGTTTTTGAGGTAGATGAAGCCGGCATTCTGGAAGCCTTTGAGGACGGCGTCAGCGGTTTGCTTCTTTGCGTCGGGATTGCCAGAGAGGAAGGCGGAGAAATCGATGAGCTGTGATGAGTCAGATTAGGAGGGCTCGTCTGGACGCGAGAAGGGTACCGGGATTTCCAGGTCATCCTGCGAGACTGCCGAGTCTACGGTGATGCTGGTTGCCATTGCGATTGCTGGGTGATATGCGGCTTGGTCGGGTGCAGGCGCAGCTGTGGCAGAACCCTGGACATATATTTAGACTTGGGTCTGAAGGATCTGTGGACCGAAGTCTCCAGGAGCCATTTGGGCGTGTCGCGTTCATCATGCGATGGCTAGATGCTGTAGGTGGGGTTGTCGCCACACAGGGAAGGTGCACACGAGGGGCGATAAGGCTAATGGTGGGGTGGACGGATCAGCCCCTCAACACCAAGTATCTCCCTGTATTCCATTATCGTGTGCTTCGAGGCCCGGATCCATCGTGAACGACGCTCGGTGCAGTCAAGACAATGGTTCAGCTGGAACATGTATTTCATTACCATCTGAGAAGACTTCATGCCTATGTTATTGTAACATGCCAAGGGTTTAGGCCACGCTTTATGCTAGGACACCAGAACGCCGGTACAGCCAGAGCGGCGTGGTAACGGCCAGAATAACAACCAAAGCTGTACCCCTTTTCAGCACTGTGACGGCCTATGTGAATGTTTACAGCAACCATAGCGACGCGTTAGTGCAAAGTAGCTAACTCGCTTAGGTGGCTGACTTGCTTATCAACCACGTTAGTGTCTATACACTACAGAGGAGCTCGTATACCAAATTACAGTAAAAGATAGACGTCTGTGCTTTGTATAGGGGTTGGAACAAGTTAGAGGCACAGCCTATAACACACGATTAATCATGCTCTTTGCCCAACTATCCTCGCGGATAGCATGGTCCCAACATGGGTTAAGAATAAGGTCTACATGTTAGAACTAATGATATGTGCAAGTACTAGGGCCTTGAGTATGAAACAAGCCCTCGTTCGCTCGTCCTGCGCACACAGCACTCCCGCAGAATCACCGACGATACGTACTGCACGTAAGCGATTACATTTACCATCTCTATACTTCGTATTCGTAGGTAATAGACCGTAAGCCTGTGCAGTGTAATAATGATGTGATACTTCCCTTGGAGCAGCGGACGAACAGGCTATGTTTGCGGTTGACCGCTATAAAAATCGTTGACGTCTTTTCGTTCGCTGTCAGACATCTACTCAGCCCACTTCTACTTACCGTTTGCAGTGGCTGTCGAATCGTCATCCTAACAGTTTCCACCGCTGCCAAGTATGAAGATGCACCTAAACCTGCCTGTTCTGGCCGCTCTCTGCCTAGCTTTCAGCGTCGAAGCCAGAGTCCGTGTATGTATACGTCTTGGGCTATTCACAACAAAAACAAAAACACCCTTCCTAACGTGGGCTAGAATTGCGATTTCAATGGCATTTGCCGGTACCTATCCGACAAAGGAACTCTACAATACTTGGCCCCGGTAAAAAAAAAGAATTTCCCCTATCAAAGGTCGAATTTCCCTTGATGGTAACAAATGCTGACTACTATACTTTGGGGGAATCAGTGCGCACCGGTTAGTCTTCTGATTTCCCTTTGTTCTTACACGAGTTAACGCTATTGTCAGAATTACCCATGCAATGCTGCAGGCCATGGCTGTATTATTCTCACGCCGGCCTCGAATACCGAAGCTGGAGTCGCACACTGCTGTGATCCGTCTCAAGATCCTATTTGCCCTGGAGGCTGAATCATGGACGCTGTATCTGTGTTTGTAACAAGGGAAAGTTGTGATGGACATGTTCGATAGTAGGATTCGGTATAACTGGTAACCTGATAGTTTTAGAAAAGAAAGTATGAAAAAGTAGCGCTTCTGGTTTATTTATGTGTAATATAAGAGATTACAGCGCTTTCTGATTACTTGGTGGTACTTCAGCTTTGAACTCGCAGATCAGTATCTACGAGCGAGTCCCCCCTGTTGTGTTTTATTTTATCTCATTGCTTTCCAGGCCTCTTCTTTTGTAGTGGTGGTGTGCAGAGCCAGTGCAGTGCAGGTAAACTAGACAATGCGGAGTTCGCAAGCCTGGAACTCCGAAGCCGAGAAGCCATGGCGATGATTGCGACGATGTTGCCGGCGCATCGGACGCTGGACCCTGACATGCGGCGCGCGTGGAATATAATATGACGTCTTCGATTGCGAGCAGACATGACCGTGACGCGCCGAATCTGACACTCGATATTCCTTTCCATCCTCAACTGTATTCTGCTCTTCTACTATTGCTACGACTATTGTAACGAGAACACGCTATTCAACACGACTCGACATGGGCAACTCACAGTCGGCAGTGCGCTACCTGGCGCCCGCGTCCTTTGTCTACGACTTTGCGGCGCAACAATATGGCCTCTTTTCCTCGCCCAACATGCTCGACATCCATAACCGCAACCTTGCCGCCTTCTCGCCCTATCCCTACTTCATCGGCGCCTTCTTCTTCCCGCAGCAAATCTTCCAGCTCATGTGGCTGTGGAAGCTGTGGCGGCAAGACGGCAATGCGCACGAGTGTGCCATGATGAACAGGTTTGCGTGGTGCTACAGCTTGGGCAATGTGTGCATTGGAAGTACGTTAGTTCGATACATGTCAAGGCGATTGCTAATCCGCATCATAGCGTGGATGTTCTTCTGGAATGCGAATGACCTGGCGACGTCGAATATCTTTGTCATCATCAACACGCTGGCGCAGGTGGCCTACATTTCGACCATGCTGGAGCCGCTGGACACACGCTCAACACCCAACTTCCTCACGCACATTGTCGCCAAGACGTTTGCTGGTATCGGCGTGCTGGATCTCCTGCACAACACATCGGCTGCCTACTACGTCGGCGTGGAGCCCAGCGCGCTCGTGCAGGTGGCGACGGGCGTGGGCTTTGCGGCTGCAGCGAGCGTGAGCGACTGGATCTTCGGTGGGTGCCTGGTGTACGACCTCGTTGCTCTGGCGTGCGGACAGGAGGGCGGATGGTCCAGGTTGCTGGGCGGATATGCGGCCATGGCGGCGGGGATTGTGGCCGTGAGAAACTTCTTCTAGTAAGTAGAGGCGTTGGCCGTGTTGGCCGGCGGGCGTGCTGACGGTTCACAGTCCCCAGTGGAAGGGCCAGAAGGAGGGCGAGTATTCCAGGATTGACAACTAGCGGCTAAGTAGAGCAGAGCATGGTGGGGACCTGGCGGGGCTCCGATGGCGCGACTGGTGAATGTCATGTGAAGGGGCGTGTAGATTAGCAGCTGTAATACTATGACGAGCGGCGCAGGCGGCTGGATTCTCGTTACGTTTCTAGTCGAGCCATTGTGATTACCTAGTAGCTGACGGGTGCAACAAGGCGCCGACGGCGGAGCATGAGGAGCCGCAGCCCAGCCACTGCACGCACGGCATGCGCCATGGTCATGTCGGGCCCCGTCGATCGTGTGGTGGGTGGAGGGGCAGGGCCCAGGCCAATACGCCGGCGTGAGGATGGCGATGTGAAGCTGGGTAGAGAGAGCCATTCAGCACGTCGTGTGGGCGGTGCAGGCAGTCATTGCCAAGACCCCGCGAGCGGCGGCAAGCGCAAAAGGACAAGTGCAAGCGGCCATACATCGCGTGCTCCCATCTCTCCCCTCCCCCCCAGCCACCCCCAGTCAACCCCCCAAGTCATCCCCCGATGTGGAGATAAGCCTTATCTCTATCTATCATCCCTCCATCGCATCCCGCCGCCCGTCAATCAGTCACACCCTCGGTCGCATCCCGCCATGGCTGCCCTAGCCCCCGCCAGCAGTCATGCGAGCTCGCCCCGGGTTTGGCTGCTGCATGGATGCGCCCTCCGATCAGCCCCCGGCTCGCCGCTGCGAGCATCACAGATGACTGTTGCAGATGCCGGCCTGCCCATCGACACCTAGTCTGCCTCTCTCCCACACCTCGGCCTCCTCCTCTTCTTCTCTCGCCTGCTCCGACTCGTCATCTTTCTGCCTCGTGCGCTGTACCTGTGCTTCGTTTTGCCCTCGTACCGCACGTCTCGTGTCTTATCAGTAGCCGGCCGCCTCACCGACGTCACTGCGCAGCACATTGGAACGCTGCCTTGTAACACGGTTGACTCGAGTACAAGAGTAGCAACAGCGAGAGTCGCGTCGGTTGCTGAATCTCTCGCCCGTCCTCCTCTCCCGAATCACATGCTTTGCGCCCGGGTGGCTGCACTGGATACACGCACCTGACCACTCAGCCTTCGCTACCGGCACGCGAACAAGCAAGTAGACGGGCCATAGCCTCGGAGACGCGTCCCAGGCCTAGATACCGGACCACAGCCTCCTCCGAACCCTCCATCTTTACTCTCACCGACTTCCTCCCCAAGGCCTATGGCACCATGCCGCCCTACCTATCCCCCTTGCACATAGCGAAGCCCTCGTTACCCGCCAACTGCGAGCCGGCAAACGCGTTCACATACCACCTGTCAGCCGCATTCCACACGTGCATACCCACCAATCTCGCCCTCATCTCTACCCTGCTCGGCACATGCAGTATCATATCATGGCTGTTCGCACAGCTACCGCAAATATACAAGAACCACAAGCTCAAGTCCACGTCGGGCTTGAGCGCCTTCTTCCTCACCGAATGGCTGCTGGGTGATTTGACAAATCTGCTGGGATGTCTGTTTACGGGCCAGGCCTCGTGGCAGATTATCATTGCAGCATACTATGTTTTTGTAGACTGCTGCTTGTGCGGACAGTGGATATGGTACGAGATGCTGCACCACGGCCGCCCACTACGCCCCATCTGGGGCCGCTGGAGTTCTGGAAATGGCTCTTCAGGCGCTGGAGGCGCGTCTATGCACCAAGTTCTCGAGGGCATGGGCATAGGCAAATCAGCAAATGGGCCCAAGAAACACCAGGACGGAATGGATAAAAAAGACGGATCAAGCACCACCACGCCGCAAGATGTGCCTCGCTCGGGCCAAAAAGACCCATTCAGGATACCCAACTTTGCGCGCTCTCCTACGGCAGCAAAGGAATCGTGGCAGGAATCCTCGCCGTCTGGCACATCTCCAAACCCTAATGTGCGCCGCGTAGCTGCATCCAGCTCGCCCATGCCCTCGCCAAAGACGCTCCTCTACATCACTCTCCTCATCGCCGTGCTCTCCAACCCCACCACCGCAAAGCCAATCTCGCCCTTTGCTCCTGGTCTCGCCCACACCCGCACCACGCACGCACCCACTGTTTTCACCACCTCCAGCGACTCCGCCAGCGGCACCGCGCTCGCCGGTAAAATCTTTTCCTGGATGAGCACTTTTCTCTACCTCGGCTCGCGCCTCCCCCAACTCTACATGAACCAAGTCCGGAAATCCACCGCGGGTCTCTCTCCTGCCCTCTTTGCAGCTGCCTTCTTCGGCAACCTCTTCTACTCGTCCTCGCTCGCCACCAATCCCTGCGCCTGGCAAGATTTCGCACCCGGTCAAGGCCGCGGCTGGGTCGGCCCCGAGGGCACTACGCGCGAAACCTGGATTCTGCGTGCCGCTCCGTTTTTCTTCGGAGCCGCGGGCGTCCTCCTCATGGACGCTGCCGTCGGCCTCCAATTCTGGTATTTTGGCGACGCTGCCGGCACGCCACGGGGTCGCTCTCCCCTGCCGCGCGACGACGAGGTCATCATCACGGTTGACGACAACGGCAAGCTCGTCCGCAGAAGCCTACATTGGCGCCGCGTCAGCGGCTGGATGCGCGGCTGGGCTCCCGCCGTCAGTGTCGCGGCCACACCCAATGTAAGTCGTGCGGTTACACCTATGGATACCCCGCGCGAAACTAGTCCTGCGAGCGAATCCGGAAGTAGCAGCAGTGCGGGTAGCAAGAGTAAGAGTATCCCTATTGTTGGGGGGAGGGGGTCGGCGCTGGATGAGGCGAGGGCGCTGCTGGGCACGAGTAGACATGCTAGCCCGAGGAGTTATGGGGCACTGGGGAGTCCGCGGTAGTTGTTGTTATTCTCCTAGTGATGTGTGATGAAAGATGGATGTGTGTTTTCTTTGCTGGCATTGTTAATCTTGCATACATACGGACTTTTTCTTAGATAGATTGCATGGCACCGGCATGAGCATGGGCATGGGCATGGGCATGAGCATGGGCATGGGCATGAGCATGAGCATGAGCATCAATCAGCGTTCTTTTTTTTTCTTTCTTTCTGCAGTGTATTCTTAGGAAATTGCTGGCTTGCTTCACATGGCGGGGATGCACATGTCATGTCATGTCATACATAGCATGGGTAGCATGCGTAGTATGTAAACCTCTCTCTTTTTTTTTCCCCTTGTTCAAAGAAACTGGGCACGTACGCATGATGAAATTAGTTCAACAAGGCATTTCCCGATATGTTCCAGCCCAAGTATTAGATATATATATGGAAAATCGCACGTGAGAAGGGAACGGGAAAGGGAATGAGAAAGTCTATGTATGATATATATATACGTATGCAACTACACTCACTCACAGTAAGTACAGCTGGACAAATGCATACAATACATGAGACGAACGAGCAAGCGTCTCCTTGGAAAATAACACATGTTTCAAGCAAAGAAGAAAGAGGAAAAGAAAGAGGAAAAGAAGAGAGTAAGAGAGACAGAGAGATGTACATGGTTGTTATCGCGAAACGCCAGACTCAAGTAAGACATGGAAAGAAGGGTTAGGAAAGAAGGAAAGGAAAGGGGGAAAGGAGAAGGAGATGGAGATGGAGAAGGAGAAAGAAGATATTTTGTACCAACCAACCAACCAACCAGTTAATCCAACCACCACTAAGTTCTCCCCCCACACACACATACACATACATACTTCCTTCCTTCCCCTCATACAAGACATGAATGACGCGTTGTAATCGTACAAAAAAAGATAAGAGTCGGGGTAAGATGGGGGGGGGGGGTGATGTGTGTGTATCCAAATGAAGTATCTTTGCTGCCCCCCACAAGAAAGAAGAAGAAGAAGAAGAGCAAGTATTTCCTTTATCCCTCTTGTAAGAAAAGAAAAAATAGTCTTCAACTTTGTCTTCCTTTCCTTTCCTCTTCTATTCCCCAAAAAGGATATCACAAGGGCGAGGATAAAAAGTCGTCAGAATCTCGAAGAATCCAAAAAAAAAATCTTACACGCGCGAAACATCGCGGCCAAAAATCTTAGCCTTGGCCCAGTCCATCATGACGAGTATCCTGTTGCGAGTGCTAAAGCACATGCTGAGGTAGGCCGAGCGCCAGAAAATATAGGTAATGGTGCCGCCAGAGGCAATGTTTCCCGCAAACCACGAAATGTCGGCAACGGCCTTCTCCGAGCCAATGTAGGCGAGCGAGCCCTGGTGAGAGTACTCAAACGGACCAATCGACTTGATCCTCCTCAGCCTCTGCTGCAGAGACTTGATCTCGCCAAAGACCTTGTCACGGGCCTCCTTGCTGGGTGCCTTTTCTTGCTCGACAGACAGTTGCGAGAGCTCCTTTTCAATCTCGGCCGTCTTGGCCATGTTGTTGAACATGCGCGCGAGGAAAGCACCCTCCTGGGCAGCAACCTGGGCAGTGGGAGCGTAGTTGGCGACGGCGCAATCGCCGACTGCCCAGACGTTCTCGGTGCCCTTGACAACCAAGTACTCGTTGACGGCGAGACCGCGGCGCGAGTCCTTTTGGGCGGGGATCTGGTTGATGAGGTCCTTGACAATGGGGCGGAGAGCGTTGCCGGTGGCCCAGACGAGAAGACCATAGGGGATGCGCTCGAGCTGCTTCTTGCCGTCGGGACCCGAGGACTCGGCCTCAATGTACTTGTCCGTGACATTCTTGACCATGGTCTTTGTGCGAATGTCAATCGTCTCCTCCTTGAACGTCTTCTCCGTGTAGTCAATGAGCTGCTTGGAGAACATGGGCAGGACGTTGGGCAGCGCCTCGACCAGCGTCACCTTGAAGTTGTCCTGGATCTCTGGCAGCCACTTCTTCAGGTCCGAGTGGAAAAAGTCCTGCAGTTCACCGGCGAATTCGACACCGGTAGGACCGCCACCGACGACGACCATGTGAAGCAGGCGCTTCTTCTCCTCCTCAGACTGGTCCTTGAACGTGGCCGTCTCGCAGCAGTCCATGATGCGGTTGCGGATACGCTGGGCATCGCCGACCTCTTTCAGGAAGAGGCCGTTCTCCCTGACACCCGGGATACCTGATCGATATTAGCTTCATTCCGAGTAAAATCCGAGCTTCACCCCCGAGCTTAGTCCGAGATTGACGTACCAAAAGTCGCGTTCTCGGCTCCGACACCAACCACCAGCATGTCAAAGGGAACCTCGGTCTTGGAGACGTCGCCCTTGATGTCCGAGTCGTCGCTGATGTAGACAATCCTGCGGTCGTAGTCGATCTTGGTGGCCTCTGCTTCGTAGTACTTGACCTGGGCCTTTTTGTGGCGCAGAAAGTTGCGGATGGGCTCCATGATGGAGCGGTGCTCAATGGTGCCGACGGTGCACGAGGGGAGCAGCGGGGTGAAGAGGAAGTAGTTGCGGGGCGAGACGACGACGACATTGTAGTTTTCCGTGTCGAGCTTCTTGAGCAGGGAGACGGAGCCCCAGCCGGTACCTGTGTGGTGTATTGTCAGGCGGGCGCTCAATGGGTGTGCGCATGTTGTAGCTGCTACTCACCGAGGACGACGAGCGTCTTCTTGGTCGGGTCGGGCGGCGCCTGGTCCGCGGGGTTGCGCGTCTCGTAGATGCCGTATCCGACGTATCCCAGGCCGGCGATGACGGACAGCTGGGTGAGGCGCCATGTCCAGCGCAGCAGGCGGAAGCGCTTGGGCTTGGGGCCGGCCGTCGACTGGTGGCGGACAGACTGGCGCAGGGCGATCTGGTTGTGCGTGGGCCGGGGCGTCCATCGCGCCCTGGTGGCCATGAATTGTGTGGTGAAGGTCCTGCGGTTAGCGTGCTGCACCTGCGAGAGCACGTTGGCGGCGAGCGGCCTCATCGGGGCAGCCATTGCGAGTCCAGGGGCGGTGGGAGAGCGCCAAAGAGTCAATGGCAGGACGGGCAGAGAGGATGGAGAAGAGAGAGAGGGGGGCGGCGGGGCGAGGGGCGAGGGAGAAGGAGGCGTGTGTCGAGGAGGAGAATGACTTTGCGGTGCGGGTGCCTGGGGGCGTCAACTTTTTCTTAGCGATGACGAACACAGGCCCTTTTACCGAGTCGTTTAGCTGTGGTCTTTGCTTCTGCCACTGCCCCCAACTGATAAGCCCTTTTTCCAATCACGCCCATTCACGCCTATCCACGTCCACCCACCACAAAGACGCCCACGCCCGCGCCCGCTGCCGCTTCTGCTAGACCCAAGACGCACGCAATTCCTGCCTTTGCCTCCCGCCCGTCGAATCCCGCCTGCGGATCCGGTCGCCCCCCGTCTGCCCGCCCAACACGCCCACATTCCCATGGCCACAAGCCGCGCCGTCTTCCTTTTGTCCTGCAATTATTCACCTGCCCATGTCATGCTGTGCCGTGCCTTGCGCTGGTCCGGCTCCGATACCGCCGCCACCCGGAGACAACAGTACTATTTCAATTTCCCCCCAGGACCCGGATACTAATAATGTGTGGCTTTGGCGTGTTTGCAGCCTCGGTGACTTAGCATTTATTTTTGTGGGCCGCAAAGAAAAAAAAAGGGTTCAGTGGGTTTGTGCTTTGCATGTGGTAACATTGTCCCGCGGTAATACCTAAGAATACCAGAGATTTTACCGGTGCCTTTTCAGCTGGACATGCATGGCTTATACACGCTGCTTCGTGGTAGTAATGCAGCTTGTGAGTCTGATCGTGTCCGCCTACTCAACAGACTAGAAGCGGACAATGATGACGATGATGACGCTGACCATTCATTCACCCCGCTCCCAGACTAACCGCTAAGGGTTTAGCGCGCAGCTCACAAAACACCTCTCCAGACAACATGGACTACTCCATCTCTCTCTACTATAGAATCTTGATCTCATTACCATCAAAGCCTGTAGTTAATTCAAACTCAAAACCAACATGCCTCACGCAACAGCCTCAGTAAACGGCATCGTCGTCGCCGAAACAGACTCGTACGAAGTCGTCGACGGAAACATCTATGTTGGTCATCCCGGTCTTCCGTGAACCATCACGTGCCCTTACACCATCATCACCGCCATCACCATAACCACCAACTAACAAGCACGCAGTTCCCCCCTGATGCCATCAAAAAGTCCTACTTCAGTCCTACCTCGACCTCGACACACTGCCCCTACAAGGGCAACGCAAAGTACTACACGGTGACGACCAACAAGACTGAAGTCAAGGACGCCGCCTGGTACTATCCCGAGCCCCTGGAAAGCATGAACAAGATCAAAGGCTACGTTGCCTTTTACAAGGGCAAGGCTGAGGTCAAGAGCGACTAGTGACTGTGCTATGCTGTGCTGTGCATATCGATACAAGGGTATAGATTCCATTGATTGCCAGATACTCAAACCATGTCAAGCTTAGCTTTGAAGCTTTTAGTCCCCTAGAACGCCAGTGAAATGCTCGTGAAATTGTCGTGACAGAAAAAGTGACAATGCATGCTATGAGTCGACCGCCATCATGGTATCATCGCCGTCAATCCCGACGGCCTGTGGCTCGACTACAACACCACGGCCCCTGCCCTCGAGCAATTCTCTCCTCACCTCGGCGCTGATGCTGCGGTGGCCTCGTGTCAAGAGCAGGTCGAGCAGCGCCTCTCGCTGGTCCTCGGTAATGTCGTTCCTGTATCGCTGCGCAAAGGCAAGCAAGCACTGGTGCCAGATGACAGGCAGCTTGCCCGTGTTGCCGAGATCACCAGCCACAGACTCCGTGTCCATGACATCTGCACTGCTGGCGCCGACGCCGCGGAATCGCAAAAAGTGGAACACGAGCGCATCCACCACCTTGTACGGCAGCGCGTACTTCTTCTCAAGCAGCGTCTTGATGAACATGTTGCATGGGCCAGCCGCATCCGGGTCCGATGACATTTGCTCGGCCGCGATTTCGCAGAGACGGTGCAGCGCAGCCGCCGAGTGCAGAACGGGGACCGACACCTTGGCCACGACCGAGGCTACAATGGCCGCATCACGCTGCGTACAAGAAATATCCGTGAGCATGGGAAACACGATGCCCTTGAAGAACGCGCTGGGCTTGTAGAGTGCCTTCTTCAATGCGTTGTACAGATGCACATTGAGCTTGTGTGTTTCGCGAATGTTTTGTTGCACGAGCGGCAGCAGAATGGTATTCAGGAACATCTGCGCCGTTTGCGGCTTGGCCGAGACGAATATGCGTGTGGCTGCAAAGGTTGCGTTTGGTGTCCAGTCGTCGGGACGGGTAATGGCCACGAGCGTTTCCCACGCGGGGATCGTGGGTAGAATCTTGAAGGGCTTGGGCAGCTTACCGCTCTTGTAGCGGCTCAGAATAAGACCAATCTTGGAGTACACTGTCCACGATTAGCAGTGCATCGAGACATGACAGCATGCAAATACCTTCAACAACCTTGGCTGGCAGCTCAATGGCATCCTCTGGCGCACCGCCGCCTTGAATCTCTGGTTGTTGCACCTCGCCCCCAGCCTCGTGCGCGGCAATCTTCTCAAGAATGAGTGCAGCCAGGTCGGTGCCTTGCCCTGAAGGCTGCGCTTCTTGTCCCGGCCATACAATCGGGTTGTCGTCGGTCGGGATAAATTTGTTCCATGCTGCCAGGTCGTTGGCATCAATCTCGACCTCCTCCACCTCGTCGTCGTCGCCCCAGGCCTCGTCGTCGTCCTCGGCCTGCACATCTCCCTCGACCATGTCGTCCTCTCCCAAGCGCGTCTCAAAGTCAAAGGCGGGATTGGCTTCTTGTGGTCGCTGGGCCTTGCTTTCTCGGGCATCCTCCTCTTCCAGTTCTCGTCCAATCTCCAGGATTTTGCGCGAACTCTTGGAGTCTACATACTTTTGCTCGTCCTCGTCTTTTTCGCCCTTGCTTCGCTTTTGCCGCTTCGGGCCCTTGTTCTTCCACGGGTCCGAGGGCGCATATTCTTCGGCTAGCGGGTTGTGTCGCTGGTCGCGCACACCCGGCGACTTTGGTGCTTTTGGCATGGTGAGCGGGAACTGAGTTGCAGATGCGACTTGTATACAGTTATGCGGTAAGCCTGTCGGTAAAGGACTGCAGAGTCGTGGGGCGCTTGGGGGCTGTCGAAGAGTCGTCTCGTGGTGGTTGGAAAAGTTGGAGCGGCGGAACCAAAAATTTGGTGGGGTCCAACTTTCGCGTACAAACGGCCCGCCGTAGGAGCTGCACGTCTCCACGGCCGATCACGACCTTTCCTCCCACCCAGCCATTCACTGATTGTGCCGTTGGCTTCAATTACTTGATACGTCCCGCCATGGCCGACTCCCACCCTCCCTCGCGCTCCAATACGCCCACACTGGTGCCCCCGATGCGGCGGCCGCTCGAGGGAGACAATGCGCCCGCCGTGTCGTCTCCGCTCAACCCCAATCCCGATGCAGCGGCGCGTCCCAGGCCAAAGGCGCCGGCGCGCGAGCAAAGAGAGAAGCGCGAGACAATCAAGAAGCGTGAGGCTTCGGCTTCGGCGCGCCAGAGCACCCCGAATGCCAACACCAGCACCAAGTCGAAGCCAGAGCGCCCTGCAGCCGACTCGCCCATGAGGTATTCCATTCCCGAGCCCAGGCCGTCCGACTACGAAGCCCCCAAGGACAGCACTCTGGTTTCGCACGAGCCAAACCCCATGTATGCGCCTGACGGCGTTACCGAACTCAAGAAGCCCCACGACATTGCCTGGAATAAGAGGGGCTACAAGTACACGCACTGCGTTGCCGATCCGCTGTTTCGTCACAAGCAGTACTACCGCCAGAGCGACTCGAGACCGTATGGCCCGAGAATGAGCCACGAGGACTGCGATAGGTGGTTCCACTTTGACAACAGCGCGACCATTGTATCCCAAGAAAAGGGCTGGCGCATGGGCAGAGGCAATGTGGCTGCAAGAGAAGGCAGGATGTACTACGAGGTCAAGGTCCTGCGCGGGATCCCTGCAGATGGCCCCAAAGACCCAATTGATCCCAAGACTGGCGAGACCAGGCCTGGCCCGCACGTACGCATGGGTTGGGCAAGGCGAGAAGCGCCTCTCGACGGGCCTGTTGGTTTCGATGGCTACAGCTACGGCATCACGGACGCCCGCTTCGAGGCCCAGCACCGATCGCGCGCTTCCAAGATATTCAAGCCACTGCCAAAGAATGCCAAGAGCAAGCACATGAAGGCCAGGCCACCGCATGGCAAGCCGATGCCGGTCGAGTATGTTGTAGATCAGCATGTCCAAGAGGGCGATGTCATTGGCCTGGAAATTCAACTGCCGTCCATGTCCATGCACCGCAAGGTCGTCGAGGGCATATACAACCCGGCCGTAGATCTGGGAGATGGCTTCGATACCGTCAGCAACCAAGATCCATTCGACCGGCCTATCGACATCATCCGCGATCGTATACCCGTGCCGTACAAAGGCAACTTTTACTTTGAGCAGCTCGACTATCAAGTCACCAAGATGGTCGAGGCTTACCACGACCGTGGACCCGTGCCAAAGATACATCCTTCGCCAAACCATGAAGATGTCAGCGTACGATCGCTACCACATTCGCACATCAAAGTCTACAAGAACGGGGAGGAAGTCGGCATCGCATTTGAGAATCTCTTGGCTTTCCTTCCACCAGCAAGTATGCCCTCGGTCGAGGCAGTCAAGGCTGGTGCGCGCCCGGGTTTCGACGATGGCATGGTCGGCTACTTTCCCGCTATTGCGCTCTTCAATGGTGGTGTTGCTCAGGTCAACTTTGGGCCGGATTTCTGGTGCCCGCCTGAGGAGATAGTCAAGCAGCGTGAGGAGGACACGCAGATGGCTGACGGAGATGCAACGGAGAAACATGTCCCAGAAGGCCGTAAACTGCGTGCTATTGGCGAGCGCTACAAGGAGCAGATTGCCGAGGACATTGTCTGGGATATCATCGATGAGGTCGACTTCTTCACGCAAGACGGCGGATGGGACTACAAGGGCGAGGCGCCTCAGGATGTGACGGGCAAGTCTACACCCAGGGCGCGTGGCTTTGCGAATCCCGACGAAAATCTCGGTGTCGAGGTTGGCAAACGGTACTAACAGGATGGTGATGACAAAGAGCGGAATTAGCAGCAAAAGTGATGTTAGCAAGGCGCATGTGATACCCAATATGATTGGTCATACTTTGGAATGTTGGTGATGACAGCTAGCTGCATTTTGGTCTCCTTTAGCATGATCTTTGTCACAGGTCGGCTGGTATGCAACTTGTAGGAGGGTTGTCATGGGGAATGTCTATCTGCACGCCCTACGCCTTGGTGATAAACGCCACAATTGCCTGGAATCTCTCACATTACCCGCCAATGTAGAAGAGTGAGGCTGAGATACAATTATGAGAGGGGCTGTACTCTCTGTAGCAAGATGAAAGGGCTGATATGCACAAGTACATTCTACCTAGTATTTCTGTAGCCGGATCAAAGCTTCAGAGAACAGCCTGACTTGACCTAGCCTGTCTGACAGCATTCCGCTCCAGGATCTCTAACCCCTTGGGGTAATAGGCGCGGAATTACCGACATCGGCATCCGAGCACTTCAACGTCGCTGGTTCAATTGGACCTCGTCTTCTTGAGCATCAACTACCTCTTCCTTTGTACAAACTCTAGACTGATAGAGGCGCCGAGTAAAAGTTTTTCTAGTCCTCTTGTTTCCTTCCTGTATACGTAAAATTTCCCTCTTGCACATCTTGTCCGCACTACCTCTACCCCACGATGAATTCTTCGCAGTTTCGGGAAGCGGCAAAGGGCGCCATTGACGAAAGTATGCAAGCCAATTTTTATTTTCAAGTCGATCGTATTAACAGATACCAGTCGCACAATACTACGACACACTAGAGGATCGGCCAGTCTTGCCCGCAGTCAAACCAGGATACCTCCGGCCTCTACTTCCCTCGTCCACGCCGGAGCAAGGCGAGCCATGGGAAGCCATCCAAGCAGATATCGAGCGCGTCATCATGCCAGGACTTACGCACTGGCAGTCTCCCAAGTTCATGGCTTTTTTCCCCTGCAACTCGTCGTTTGAAGGCATGCTCGGAGAAATGTACAGCGGAGCCTTCAACGCCGCCGCCTTCAACTGGGTCTGCTCGCCCGCCATCACGGAGCTCGAGACGGTCGTCATGGACTGGATAGCCAAGCTCATTGCGCTGCCAAAAGAGTTCCTCAGTGACGGCGAGGGCGGCGGCATCATCCAAGGCACAGCCAGCGAAGTCGTGCTCACGGCGCTCGTCGCCGCCCGCGAACGCATCATCAGACGCAAGCTAGGCGACATGCCCGAAGGCGACGAGAGACTCGACGCCGCCGCCGACATCCGCGCCAAACTCGTGGCCCTGGGCTCCGAGCACGCACACTCTTCCACGCAGAAAGCCGCAATCATAGCAGGCACCCGGTACCGCAGCGTCCCCAGTTCGCGTGCCCACAACCACAGCGTGACTGCCGCGGGGCTCCGACAGACGCTCGAGGAATGCAAGGCCAAAGGCCTCGAGCCCTTCTACTTCACCATCACGCTGGGTAGTACAGGAACCTGCGCGATCGACGACTTCGAAGGCATCGCGGCGCTCGCCAAAGAATTCCCAGACCTCTGGATCCACGTCGACGCCGCGTATGCCGGATCAGCGCTCGTGTGCCCAGAGTACCAGCATTTGTGTGCTCCGATTGCGCACTTTGACTCGTTCAATTTTAATCTGCACAAGTGGCTCCTCGTCAACTTTGATTGCTCGGCCTTCTTCATCAAGAGGCGCAAAGACCTCATCGACACGTACAGCATCACCCCGACGTATCTGCGCAATCCCCACTCGGACCAGGGCCTCGTCACGGATTATCGTGACTGGCAGATTCCGCTTGGCCGCCGCTTCCGCAGCCTCAAGGTCTGGTTCGTGCTGCGCAGTTACGGCGTCGCTGGGCTCCGCGCTTTCATCCGCAAACACGTGGCTCTCGGCGAGTATTTCCACGACCTGCTACTCTCGCGGCCCGACGTCTTCAGCGTAACTACGAAGCCCGCATTTGGCCTCGTGACATTCCAGGTCACGCACGGCGTGCTGCCTGCGGGAAACGAAGATGCTACGGTTGCCGCGAACCGGCCGGATCCGAGCCATGGCGCGCTGCAGAATGGGTTCCAGGCGGATGCCGAGGCCCAGTACGTCGAGATGGTGAATCAGCGCACCAAGGACGTGTACGAGAAGGTGAATACCAAGGGCGATTTCTTCCTCACGAGCACCGTCGTGGGCGGCAGGTATGTGATTCGCGTTGTTAGTGCCACGGTCAAGAGCGACGAGAAGTGGATGAAGATGCTGTTTGATGAGCTGGTGGAGATTGCGGAGAAGAAGGCATGATGGCGGTTGTGGGGATGGCGAAATGAAGAGGTTCCATGTTGTAATGTACATGTCGTTGACCAACTGGCTGAACATGCTTTTCAGTGGAGCTTTCATCATATGTGCGAATGAATTGGACGGGAATCCTTGAATCAAGTCTCTATATACGAGTTTGGTAATCAGTCCAACCGCAGTATCCGTACTGCATTCCCACCAAGCACATCCTGGGCCTTCTTGTCGTCTGTCGCAAACGCTTTGGAGATGGCGCCATAGTTCGCGTTAACGCTATGCCACTCCTTTGCATCTTCTTCCAGCGGCGGGAAGAACGGGTGATCAGTACCTAAGTAATCCTCATTAGTTTTCTCCCAGCGCAACAAACACGATGCATAAAAAAAAGGAGCCACGTACCAAACAACAACCGATCAGACCCAGACGCATCGAGCGCCGCCTTCAACCCCACCTCGGAGTAAATAACCGCATCGAGATAAATATTCGTCTTGAGGATATCCCAGACCTCGCGCCGATTCTGCGTCTTGCCATGTTTCTTCAAGTGCCCATCATGCAAGATACACGATTCGATTCTGCCGGCCAGAAACGGGAGGGTGCCTCCAGAATGCGCCAGCAGCACGCTGAGCTTGGTAAAGCGGTCCCACACGCCGCTCAGCAGCATCCTGGTGACAGCAATGGTAGTTTCGAGGGGGAACCCCAGCGCAAGCGGGAGCACGTGGCCGTATTCGCTGGCGCGGGGCCCATACACGGATGTAGGCAGTCCGTAGTGCGGATGCAGGAAGATAAGCTGGTTGTGCTTTTCCAGCGCGGCGTACACGGGATCCAGCGCTGCGTCGTCGAGGCCCTGGCCGAGTCCCGAGGTGCCCATGATGACGCCGCGCGCGTACTTGAGCGTGCTCAGACGCTCGATCTCGGCCGTTATCACGTCAGGTGAGGCGGACAGCGGGAGCGTGCCGAAGAAGTAGAGGCGGCCTGGGTACTGCGAGCACTGGTCGTTGACATCATCATTGATGTTTCTCGCGGCGTCGCCCGCCTCGTCGGCAGGCAGAAAGTCCAGCCAGGGATTCGCTAGTGAAATCACCGATTTGTCGATCTTGTGCAGGTCCATAAAGGCAATCTTCTCCTTGATCTCGTAGTACTCTTGCCCGATGGGGCGGCCCCGCGACGTCGACGGCATAGAGGCATCGTCTTCGCCCGGCAGGATGATCAAGCGCGCCGAGTCCGGGGCGTCTGGGAATGTACGCACGTATGGCACTGTGGAGCGGGATCGCAGCAGTTCCATGTACTTGGGAGGGTACACATGGGTGTGGATGTCGACGATGGGCATGTTTTTTTGCGCTTGGAGACGCGGGATACGCGTCAATTGCCTGGATTCAGAGTCTTTTGCTTTTTCCAATTGCGTGTGACGGTTGTTGGAGAAGAAAAAAAAGATGATCGAGGTATGTAGGTTCTGCTGTCGTCCTGGCACGCGAGATGATGCTGGCAAGTATATTATCAAGTAAGTATTGTGGAAATAATTGATACTGGCGGGGTAAGTAAAGTATAGAATGCTCACCCCCACTACACGGCGCCCACCCCTCCCACCTTCCCCAAGCGGCTAAGGAACTATGGAGCCTTTTGGTTCGAGACGGGCGCGCAAAAAAAATTACTATGTCATGATGGAATATCGTGATAAGCAGATATGTAAACACATGTTCTATATCGACAATTCACAGTTTATATTCAGTTGCTGTACTTAAGTAGCAAGTGTTTGTCGAGACGTAAATACGTACGTATCAAGCGCGAGTCCTCAAAAACACATTTGGCGGCTTATCCCACGTCTTGAACTCATCATCCACCTCGAATACAATGTCGCCCGTGCCTTCGTCCTTGAACCCCAGTCTCTGATACACTGCTCGTCCCATGGAACTTCCCTCAGTCGTGCATTCGAGATCGCCTCTGTTCTTTGCGTCGGCGAGCCCGGCTTCAACGAGCTTGGCTGCGATGCCGCGACGCTGGAAGGCGGGATCGACGGCGCACACGTCGAGGACGAAGATGGCGGGCGGAGTGCGGCCTGATGCCTTGACTTCGTGCATGTATTCGATGCGCCGTTTCCACAGCGAATTGAACATTTGTGTTGCGAAGCGCTGGTTCTTTTCGTCCAGTTGACTGGTGGTGGCCGACATATCGCCGGTGAAAGCGTCGCCGTAGCCTTCGACAAATGAAAGTTGCTTCCAAACGGCTATGCCGACGACACGTCTTTCGCTGGGTTGCTCCGGATCAGGTAGCGTGGCTTTGAGATAGAGGGCATTGAGCTGCCCGTCTTTGTTCGTCGTCGTGGATTTCCAACTCTCCATCATATCCAGGGCAAGTTTTGCCTTGCCTTCTTCCGTGTCCCATCCCGGGTTCATCAGCCTCCAAACCGCATCTTTTACTTGGTGGCCAAACGCTTCAGCCAGGCAGTCTAGTGCTTGTCTGAAATCCTTTTCCGTCTCGAATGGAGATACGACGACGTCGTCGTTGTTGTTGGTGGAAGTCATGCTGGGTAGGTCGTGACGTTGAGGCCCTTTGTTGCGTTGAGAAAAGCGGCAAGTTTACGTATTTTCAGAGTAGCCAAGCTCCGGCATGATGACACAGCCTAAAACTGTGGGTCACAGGCTCATACGATACGAAGGCTTGGCGAGACCTCTTACACTCTGATGGAGAGTTGGACATTAGTGAGCAAGGTACAGGGCCATTGTATGTGCGAATCATCTCATTGTTGTTTAGTCAATTGGCATCATCTAAACTCAATCTGGCAGCTCCAGCTAACTCCCAATAGCAACTAATCTTCTCCCAAGCTATTACACATGTGGTACAACAAAACCGCATAGCACACCGAGGGATATAAGACGGGTATGGGTTCACTATATCGCAGCATTGGGTCTCCTTAAGTGTCTATCTAGCCACGGGCCACGCCATACGTCATCGTACTGTGGATGCTGCCGAGGAACATAACGTGGTTTTTGCGCCTTCGGCACGCCGTTAATTCTTTCTCAAAACTAAATCAAAGAGCCTTGTACACGGAAACTTCACACGACGAATGCTTACAACATAGAGGTTGAAAATCAGCCTAGGCTGGCAGATGGGTAGGGTTACCTCCATGAGACTCAGACCCTGCCTCTACCTGTTCTGGGTTCCATAAAGCGTTAGAGTAGTGCAGGTTTATGCAGAGATCGGGATAAGTTTATATCTTATTTTGACTATTTATGGCAAGTCTGATTACTCCGCAGCTGCCGCGCGACATGAGACGAAGTTTCTCCAGCTATCGTGAATCATGTCACTCTTTACCTTTTACTTCATCCATGGTCAATATCGCACCTTGCACATCTGAAAACACAGTACTTGCATCTGCATCATACTGCAATTTGAGAACCCATCACATCTACGAGATAACAGGTTTTTGGTAGCTTTGCGTCGACCTATCATTCGTGCCGCTTGACATGCAGCCTTCTCAGCTGAGTGCGAGGCTGAGCCCATGGCTGCTAGGTTGACCCCGCATCTTCAAATACAACAGATGCTTAGCCCCGAAACCATCATTACCAAATCTCCCCTTGGTATCCAGCTATCTGGATCAAAGCCAGCATGTCAGCATCGAGCAAAGAACGAAAATTCTACCTCCGAGCACCAGGCCTCGAGTACCGTCTCAATGGGCCAATCCAAATCGGGAACGTCATTACAGACATGACACGCCCGCAAGATCCTATCACGTTTCTCGATCCTTTACCCGAAACCATATCAGGCGCAGGGTTCGGCGAGGGCTCAACGGAGCAAGGCCACCATGCTTCTGGAAACATAGGCTTTGCCGCAAAACTGCACAGCATCTTCTCGGCGCAGGTCGAGGGCAAAAGCAACAGCTCCGACAAGACAGTGTACGGGTTCCAAAAGATCCTGGCGCGGTACTTGCAGAGAAACCCATCAGTCGCGGATGTAAAGCGGTTCTGGGAGAAAGACGAGGAGTTTCGAAATGCGCTAAAGAGTGGTGATGTATGCGGTGCAAAATCTGATTGATCCGAGGAAAAGCATAGAGACTGATTGATACATACTTTGCTCTAGGTTTACATAGTTACCGGCTTGAAGATTGCAAAGGGGCTCAAGTATTCAAAGCAGCGAGCGAGCGAACACAATGCATCCATCAAGGGGGGTGGCCATGTCGCCGAAGGCGCTGTCATCGAGGGCACCATAGAGGGCGCAACTGGAGGCGAACAGTCAGGTAAATAGCTGTACAACCGAGTATCGACTGGAAAGATTTACTGACCACTCATCTACCTTGCAGACACATGGACTGTCCTAGGTGATGTCATTCTCGCATATAGATTGCACCGCGTCAGAAACAAGTGGTCCATCAGGCGCAAAAACAATCTGGCAACAGAGTCCTATGACCCTGGCGAAGCCGGATTCATGAATAGAGGAGACGAAGCAGACGAGTTGGAAGGCGAGTTTGCTGAGGTCGCGCCGCATGATGTGGATGAGTTTGCCCAGGAGCAGTATTGGGAGCTGGACTACATGGAGCTGGAGGATGAAGAAGAAGATTGGAAGATTGCTGTCTTGAAAGAGTGATACGGGGGGTTGGTTGCAGTTTCCGCATCTTCAGGGCAGATTTGTGAGAAAGTCTGAAGACGATGTGTTGTATTGAAGCTCTGCGCAGGAGCAGCTATATACGCTATAGAGCTAGCACTATTTGGGTGAAAACTATCCAGGCACTGAAGGTGCATTCTTAATACATACAGACCGTATCTTGCACAATTCGAAGAGAGTAAAGCGGTTGATGGGGTTGCATGTCTATTAGCAAAGAAGTGATTTCGTACAACCCTCATTGAAGAATTGGTATCATTAGTATTATTACAAATACTCTAGTAGCGCTCAAGAATTTAAAAGCTACATTGGCTTCGGATTTGAAGCGCTCGTCAATGCAGCTTCCAAGATAGACTGGTGCTTGAATTCTGAATGGTGTTTGAGAGTCATGAATAGCTGGCGCGGCTGCGATTCCGTGGAAAGCTGGTGCAGCAGCCTTTGAAAGCCCTCGGGCGTCCTGATGTTAAGCCAGGATTTGCGCTTCTCCGTGTTGTCCATGTTGATGTTGATGTACCCAATGATGATTGCAGCGATTCCTGCCATGATCGCAGTCGCAACCGAAGTTCCGTTGTGGTTGATGTATCCCGAGCCATGTCGTTGCCGGGCTGGTACCTCGACTCCCAGCGTGCCGAATACTTTTACTGCACCCTTGGGAAGCGAGGGGTTGAAGCCTGGGTTCTGTCCCTCTGTGTTTACGGCTCGGACGGAAATGACTTCTGGGAGATATGCTGGGAACAGCTCTGTCATGCCACCACCCAAGTTCGATGCCGCAGCAAAGATCAAAACGTTCCTGTTTCGCTTTGCGAGCGCACTGCTGATGGCATTACTGACGATGCGTTCTTCCTCATGACACGGTTCTTGTTCCCAGCCGAGGGAGAGAGACACAATGTCTGCATCTTGTTCTTCAACAGCCCATCTAATAGCCTACGGTTGTCGTATCAACACCAAGTTCATTATCTATCCTCGAGTTTGAACATACCTTGGCAAGATTCTGGCTGGTTTTGATTGCATCCTGCTTCAGATCTTCGTCGCCTCCTGCTATGCGTGCGACACAGATATCTGCAAAAGGCGCAACGCGATGGACGATGGAGAGCATAGCTGTTCCATGTCCATCAATATCAAGTGGAATTGTCTTGGGTTGCCAGAAGTCCTTCCAGTTACACTCTGCTTTTCCTTTTGGTAGCATATTGAGCCGTTTTTGAAGCTTGCGATCTCTCCAATGTGTAACGATGGTTTCGTCGTCGAACCCCGTGTCGATAATCGCAATCTTTGGCCTTTTCATGCGTTCGAGCTTTTCAGTGACATGTGTATGCAACCAGGAACTCGACATGCTGTTGAGCCAATCTGATGCCAGGTCGCTGTGATTATGTCAACTTGAGAATCATAATCATTTCTTAATTTTTACCTTTGAGTCTTGAGCGTTTTATTGCTACCCGTGCCTGTCTGTAACACAGTAGACTTCCCCACTCGCGTCGAACGTTGAAGCCAGATCTCTGCTTCTTCTATATCGGCCATGTCTTGATAAAGTTCGAGCAAGGGGTCGACGACATGATTCTTGAGGATCAGTCGTCTTGCTGAGACATCCGGAGAATTTTCAAATAGATCTTTGAAAGATGGTGAATCGATCGGAAAACATGTCTTGACAGCGCGCTGAAATTTTGTCTTGTGTTGAGCCGGAATTGCTAATGTAGGCCAATCTTGTCCAGAAACAATCTCTTTGCAGCAGTAGAGGAGAAGTCTGTTGTTCTTCTCAATACCTGACAAGTTTTCTGCATCCGCACTGATTTGTATTTCTCTGCAGTCCGCTGAGCCGAGCTGAAACAAGAGAAGGCCAAGGTTAAAGATGTAGGGATATGGGTGGAGGTGAGTGCTCTGACCTGACATTGTCTCTGACTCATGCTCACTAAAGGTCTCACCTCTCAAATGCGCAGGTATGACCCGAAGGAAAGGTGCCTTCGAGTCAAGGCTTGCTGTCTGCAGGAGTTGTACGGTGTCAGAACTCCATTCCACCTTCATCCAATCTGATTCGTAATACTGCCAGAAAGCTTTAGACAAGGCGAATGCCAGGAAGACTTTGTGTTTCGGCGAGATCATGTTTTCGTCTAACGCTGTAGCAAGAGCCATTGGTGGGCCTTTGGGCGGGAAGGTGTCTGAATACCGCATATCGCGTCTACAGTGGAATTGGCTAGTTTCGATATGTTTGGTTATATGGAAAGTGAAGCAGCTAATCTTCTTTGACAGGACTTTACAGAAATCATCGAGCACTTTGGACGATGCTGTGTGCGCTGGTGGCTCGTCATTCTCGTTGGCTTGGTCCGTAGGTGAGTTTATGCGGATCCGAGTATCTTTAAAATATCTATATCATGCTTCAGCCACAACCAGCAAACTTTCGAATACATCAAGTTACCTGGGAAGATAAAAGCGTACGGATGTCAGCTGGTGGCTTTCGTCATCTCTTTCTGCGATGACTGAGTCGAAAAAGTGATAGTTGACGTCACCTGGAACATGCGGATATCCATCCAGTCGTAATGAGCAAACATGATCGGTTGAGAGACATCTAGGACTGCTTTCTTCCGAGCAAGTACACGGTAGATAGGCGCTAGCGTAAAATACGTCATATAAAGCCTTGGTGGTGGAACCAGAGTACTCTTCCAACTCGCTCGAGGCCCGGCAGTTTCGGGAATATCCGCTCAATGAAGCAGCCTCTTCAAACGAGGCATGGCGGCGAGACAGGTTTTCGGTGACTTTTTCCATGATCATTTTACTCGAATCTGACTCTGGGTTTGGAATCAAGCGTCCTGATAATTTTTTCAAGATTGAAGTTGCACTCTTAGTGGTCGCTTGTGTTCCCTATAACCCAAGGTGTCAGCCTTGTCAGATTCAGTTCACTGAAATGGTGAATACGAACATCGCTTGGAGATACCACAGTATTCAACTCGCATAAGACGCTTGAATTTTCTTCAAAACTCTGGGCTTTGAAACAATCACCGTATCGAAACAACGAATAAGCCATAAACGCGGCAGCTGCAGCCTTCCGTAGGCCACTGGGATGAGCGGTAGATTGCTGCGCTTTATTCCCCAATTCGCCTGCAACATTCGCGATACCCTCAACTAGAGTCCAGTCGTCCTCGGTGTAATCAGGATCCATGGCTTATGTGGAGGGAGATGGTAAGTGGGATGGCAAGCACTGCCATCCCGCATGGGTTTGTGCCTAGATGAGCTATTAAAGCTGAGCGGCTAACCACCGCGCGTGCGGCAGATGGCCGAATCCTTCGAGCTGATCTCTGAAACATCAACTCCAAACACATCAGCTCTGGCTCTTCTCAGCTTTTCGGCCTTATCAAATGCTGATGATGCCTAATCTCTTCTTACATTGATTGACCGCATCAAATAGCTTGTGGTACGAATACTCTACGAGTCTTTCTATACAGCAAGGCTGTAACAGGTAAATTTAGGAAGGAAAGGAGGGAGAGCAAACGGAGAGCAAAAGATTTTTAGCTCACCCTTGGATGGGTTGACTAGAGGTCTTCGAGTACTAGGATTCTTGATGTGATGTGAATTAAGCATATAAGGAGTCACACCACCACAGCTGCTCGCTACTACAACAGCGGCTGCCTATCGCCACTCTCATTAATATTTCAGTAGTCACTTGAATACACATGTATATGGGACCATCAATATCAGTAGCTATAGCAGGCTCCATGCTAGTTCACTAACCAGCAGCTGTTTATTTTGACCCTTCTAAGAATAAAAGATAAGCACCTATTCATGTAACTACCGTACTAACGCTATATAGCTTAGATCACATGACGCTAATGCAGGATCCTGCTTAGTGGTGGGACAAACGCCCTCTTGATGGTGGGATGTTTAAGCTTTGCCCACACAATCCCTATAGCCTTCACTACCCCAGATGGCAGACCCTACCGGTTTGGTTGACAGCAGCCCCTTTCCCATACGCGCGACAACGGAGTTGTGCCGGCAAAGTCTCAGGGAATGTACCAGCTACGCGATTCTGGCCGACGACCACTGGGCAGAAACTCGGTTCAGTGATTTCAATCTTTGGGTTTCTGGAGTCGGAGCATCCGCAGATGATCTCAATTGTCTCGACAAGCGCTTGCAACGCGATGTTCCTGCGCAGAAAGTGGTGATGGGTGTCCTCAGCACTCTTGCTGCTTGGACAAGAATGTGTGTGGAGTTGGCAAAGACGAAAGATGCAGACATCGCATTGTCCGACCGTCAACAGGGTGAAAATCCCAAAGATGCCGATGAAGAAGGTGCTGAACTTGGGGATGAAATAACACTGGAAGAAGCAAAAGATACTATTGAAAAATTACTAACAAGTTTGATTCAACTCGAGGCTGCGATCCGAAGGGCCAGTATGGCTTCTCGACTGAGAAGAGCAGACCGAACATTCGAGAGACAAAAACATCAATACTCCAAGCTCTCAGATCATCTCAGGTTCGTCTTGAGAGTTGCCGAAGCCTCTATACGCCAACATGTCTTATCAGACCAAGGTCACGGTTCAGAAAATCAGCCTTTTGCATTACCCAGACTCGATGAACTCAATGTCAATTCTGTACTGGATAGTTTGCAGGACAAAAGCACATCTGTACGTCCTGAGCAGGAAGTGCTCATTCTTGCTAACATGAAGCGAACTCACCGCTTTATATTCCACAAGAATCGCCAGGAACAGCTGCGACCCGCAAGAGCGCAACAACCGGCCCGGAATGTACAAGACCAGCCCCAACCACATCGCGCGCAACCCTCTGAATCCGCCTTGGAGAGCAGAAGACAGCTGGAACAATCAACAAATGCTTTTTTGCATGACAATGCGAAAGCGCCTTCACTTCCACAATCTACCGGCACCACTAACCAAGCATCGGACTTCAACCAAAGTTCATCGCTTGAAAATGCGGCCAAGGTCAAACCCCCTGTTAGCGCTCCAGGTGTTGCAGCGACCACCATTGCTCTTCGGGTGGATTACCCCAAGCCTCCAAGAGAGAAATCGAGATGTCCTTATTGTCTGATACCATTCAGTACTGAAGCTGAAGATATGCGTCAGTGGAAGTAAGCTCTTCAATTGCATCGCTATGAATGAAATCACTGACCACACAGGAAACATGTCTCGGAAGATCTTCAGCCTTACACATGCTACTTGCCGGACTGTAACCAAGGTTCTCCTCTTTTCAATACTTTTGAGAGCTGGAAAGAACATGTTCTCTCAGGAAAACATAAAGAGTTCGACGGATGGACCTGTCTATTCTGCCAATTTTCTGCGAAGCCAAACGAAGAAGCTGCGTTCAAGGACCATGTCAATGCCACCCACTCCAAGGATATAGCAAACAAATCTCTGGACGACTTTACTAGTATTTGTCGTCGTTATACGGTTCCGTTGCTGGATAGATGCCCAGTCTGCTCAACATTCGAGAACGATTGGAATATGCGAAAGAAAGACGACCCACAATTCGAAGGCGGAGTCAAGTCGTTCCTAGAGCATATTGGAGGCTGTATGCATAAATTCTCCTTGAGGATACTGCCTGATCCCAATCCCATAAAGCCCAATGGATCCTGGCAAACATTAAGTTCTGTCTCCTCCATTCAAAACCGATCGTGGCCGTCGGCTTATCTTCACGTATCGAATCACCCAGATGCGGAATTTACTGAGAATGTTTTGAACCAGGTTCTGGAACAAACCCACAGTGATCCGTTTTCTGATTTCGAAAGGACGCAAAATTGGATCAAGTTGGCAGAGAATATGGATGATCCAAACTCCCTCGACTTGGCCAAGGGTATCGAGGATGCAGATTCCCTCAATGAACAAAATATATCCAATCCATTTGATAAACATGCTTCCTGGGCTAGTATCCCCTCTTCGGTTGCAGAAAGTCACAAGTCAGTCACACAGGATACCGGGCTTCACCTGCTCTCGATCGATAACGGTGGTGTGCGCGGCCTGTCTGCATTGATCATCCTCGAGCAACTCATGGACGCCGTCGACCCAGATGCGCCGCCAGAGCCGTACGAATGGTTTAACATGATCGGGGGGACGGGCACAGGCGGGTAAGTGAGGATCTATAGACACTCTATAGGTTGCTAACCTCATAGGCTAATCGCCATCATGCTGGGCCGGCTAAAGATGAGCGTACCTGATTGCATGAAGACATACATGACATTCTTTTACCTCATTTTCCAAAAGCCACGTCGCCGGGGTTTGTTCAAGAGTCCGGTGCAGGGACGGTTCGACGCAAAAGAAGTAGAACTGGCAATAAAAGATGTTATAAAGCAGCAGGGTTTGCCAGAGGACGCGCCCCTCAGAGATGAGCACAGCACGGCTTGCAAAGTGTATGTCGGGCTTCATATTCAGCAAACTGTACGCTAACAGCTGCAGCTTCGTGTGTGCAGCGAGCAAAGACGCGTCTGGAACAATCTGCCTCCCGAGCTACCCCATGCCGCGCGAAAATGATGATCTGTTCAAAGGCGTGACAATTTGGGAAGCATGCCTAGCTACTTTGGCAGTGACGGCTTCCTTCGACCCAGTTTCAGTGGAACGGTTTGATGAGGTGTTTGTAGATGCGCCGATGAGCGTGAACAACCCCGTGCAACAAGTATGGGAGCAGGCGCATCTGGTATGGGGGTCTGAACTACCAAATTCCGAATATAACCGCCTGGTCTCGATCGGAACGGGGGTGCCGTCGCTTGGGTCATTCAAGGATGAAGATATGCGCATCGGCCAGATGTTGGCTAGAATGGCTGTAGAGACTGAGCGAATTGCAGAGCTGTTCCGGAAAGAGCATAGACTGCGAAACAGTACGGTACGATACTATCGTTTCAATGTGCCGCGAGGGCTGGAGGATGTTGGCCTCGAGGAGACGGAGAACATCCGGGAGGTGGCAGCGGTTACGCGGCAATATATCAAGTCCTCGAAGGTAGAGTTTGAAGTTCGCGAGTGCATGGGCAGCATCACCAACCGAGAAGGTCAGTAGTCCCGTAGACGTCTCTACATTCGAAGATTTGTGGCTAATGTGCATGCAGCCTTTAGCGAATACCGAACCGTCTTCAGCCTTGAGGGTGCCCCGCAAGGGCTTCATTTTGTGGACAGGCCGGCGGAGATGGCGCAGCTTGAAAGTGTGTTCCTGCCGCGATCAAAGCACAATCAGCGCCAAAAGATCCATATCCTGTGTGGCCTCGGTGGGATAGGCAAGACGCAGCTGGCGGCCGAGTTCGCGCGACGGCACCATCACCGGTTCAGCTCAGTCTTCTGGTTAAATGCGGGAAACGACTATTTTCTCAAGGACAGTATTGCGAACTGCGCGAGCCAGATTCCCCCGGGCCATATTGCTGAGGCAAGCAGGAGGTATGCCGCAGACAAATCCCCTGATATTGACACAGTAATAAAAGATGTCATGACTTGGCTTGCACTGCCTAACAACACGGCGTGGCTGCTCATTTTCGACAATATCGGACCGCAACTCGGGTCTCTACAGAATGGTCGTCCGGCGTACGATATACGGCGTTACCTACCTGACGCAGACCATGGATCTGTGCTGGTGACAACACAATTGGCACAGTTGACGCAGGTGGGAGAGTCACAGCTATTGGGTCGAGTCTCTACGGAGCAGGGACGGGATATATTCGAGAGCTGGTGTCAGATGAAGCACGGTAAGCTGAAAGTGGCTGGCATATAGCTGCAGCTCAAGAAGCTAACAAAACACACCATAGGTACGGCTGAGATTGACCATCTACTTGGAAAACTAGATGGCCTGCCACTCGCGATTGCGCAGGCAGGCGCATACCTGCAAGGCACCGGAATAGAGCTGACGCAATACCTGGAACTCTATGAACAGCAATGGAGTGAGCTGATGGGACGAGACCCCTTCATTGATATGACGCCATCCCTCGACTACGCTAATCGCAATTTGTGGAGGGCGTGGGTCGCCTCTTACCACGCAATATGTGAAAGAAACAAGAATACGGCTAACTTGCTGCTTCTATGGTCATTCCTCGACAACAAAGACCTATGGCATGGCTTATTCGCTGAGGCGTGTGCGAAGTCTACCGTAGCTGCGAATTTGCTATCGGGATATATCGGGTACATTGCAAGAAGAGGAATCGATTTCAGTAGGGCGATACAACAACTATCTAACTACTCGTTAGTGGAAGAGGTTCCAAAGACGCGAAGCTATGCAATACATCCGGTGGTGCATCGATGGGTGTATTGCGCACTAGGCGGGCACCTTACAGATGAGCTGAAGAGACTGGCGACAATTGTTGTTGGCTGTGCTGTGCCAGACCACTCTATCGGAAACCCATTTGCCCTAGAACAGCGACTTCTTCCACATGCGCAAATCTGCTTCAGGCACGTAGTTGAGAGCAAGGCAGAGTGGTGGCTTATCTCGCCCAAAGATAGCCCCGTGAGCTCTGACAGGGGTGAAGAACAAGAGATACTGGCTTATGCTATGAATTGCATAGGCCGTCTCTTCACAGATCGAGGCAAGTGGGAGGAAGCCGAGCAGATGTACCGACGAGCGCTGCAAGTGTATGAGGCGGTACTTGGACCTAGCCACACATCGACACTACAGACGGTCAACAACCTAGGCACCCTTTACCTTAGTCTAGGTCAGCTAGATGAGGCGGAGCAGATGTTAGAGCGGGCGCTGCAAGGATATGAGGAGGCACTTGGGCCTGGGTACACATCAACACTACAAACAGTCAACAACCTAGGCAGCCTCTACGCAGGTCAAAGCAGGCCAGATATGGCAGAGCAGATGTATAAGAGAGCGCTAGAGGGATATGAGAAAACACTTGGGCCTCAAGACATGTTGACACTACAGACAATCAACAACCTAGGTCTTCTCTACGCAGGCCAGAGCAAGCCAGATATGGCAAAGGAGATGTACGAGCGAGCGCTGCAAGGATGCGAAGAGGCGCTTGGGCCCAAACACTTGTTAACACTACGGACAGTTAACAATCTAGGCACCCTCTACCAGCAGGGGGGCATGTGGGGCGAAGCAAAGCGAATGTTAGAGCGGGCGCTGCAAGGATACGAGGAGGCATTTGGCAGGGATGGTGTTGAGCAACACCTACCAGCACTCGATACCTTACAGAACCTAAGCCATCTCTACGAGCGCCAAGGGAAGATTTCCGAAGCACAATCCATGTACTCAAGGGCCCTTTCTGGGCTTAGCAGTGTCCTCGGGCCGTCGAACAAGAGGTATATAGAGTTGGCCGCACTTGTCGACAAGCTGCCCAGTATCAGTGGTGGAGGAGCAGAGGCGGAGGTGCTCTCAACAGAAGGCGAAAGTTCTGCAGCACAGCAGCATGAGAGAAGGAAACCCACGAGCCTAGCAATATGGAAGCGCTTCAAGGATAAGTTGCGATAGTGCTCTGACATTCGTTGGTTGCATTCTTACAAGTTGCATGGCATGGCGGCAGCAAAGTTGAAGATGATGAGATTGTAATTCTACTTTCTACTGTGAGTTCGTAAATAGTACTCGAGAAGGATGTCCTGTTCGCTGTGGAGTGCCTCTTGATGTTAATAATTTCTATGTCAATTCTGTGGCGTTCGCGGATAATTGGTAGCATTGGGGGTTACAAACTAAAGACCAGTATAGACCAGTATCGAGTGCTTTACGCATGAGAGAAAGGGCGATAAAATGACTGATTCTTGATCACCAATACAGACACTACCAGTAGATCATACCGTACAGAATTCGTATCGTCACCTATTCGATGAGGCCGAACAATGTGGGAAGAGCCAGAGGCAGTCTATCACGTGCACAGGGTGGAGGCGACGGCTAGCACTAGCGTGGCGTCAATCAATTAGCAGGGATGACGCGCTCGCGCGTACACGGTTTCGCGTTCTCCCTAGGCACTTTCTCCAACTGCTCCACCACCCAACAACAAACACTCTCCATCCCTCAATCGCCGTATACCTCGCTTCCAGGTGCTGTATACACTGGCGATAGAATCAACATGCCTGGCACAGTAGCAAGAGCGCCGGCGAAACGCGCCCTCGCCGAGACGTCCACCACGCGCACCAATGTGCAGACGTCGCCCCGCTCCGCAAAGAAGTTGAAGGTCAAGGATGGAAAAGACAGGAGCAGGCCGCCGGCGAGGACTGCCAATGACTCTTTCAATTCAAGCCAGGCAGGCCCCAGCCAGTTCGAGGAGACGTTGGAGCAAATGACACGGGACATGGAAACGCTGAAAAAAGACAACTCGGAGAGCGACCAGCAATGGCGGCGGCCACCGTTGCCCGAAGACTTCAATGAAATGACCCATAACCTGGTGTTTCAGCAGATCGAGGCCGAAGAGGGTGTGCTGAATGGGGGCAAGGCGACAGTCAAACTGTTTGGTGTGACCGAGGTGAGAAGTCGCCAGGTGCAGATGTGAAGACATGCTAATGAGTGCATTGCAGACTGGCCATTCCGTTCTCCTCCACGTCACCGGCTTTCAACACTACTTCTACGTCGCCGCGCCCATCAACTTCCACAAGGAAGACTGCGAGCCCTACAAGATCTTCCTCGAGAGCGAGTGCCAAAAGAGCTTCAACCAGCATGCGGCAGTCATAGCCTCAGTGCAAATGTGCATGAGGGAAAATATCCTGCGCTTCCAGGGTAATCAGAAGAGCCCATACCTCAAGATTACCGTCAACGACCCCAAGATGATCAACCGAGTGCGGATGATGGTACAAAAGGGCAATGCCAATTATAAACGACTTTGGCCGGCCAGAGAGGATGGCATCCTCACGTTCGACAACATTGCTTATGTACTGCGCTTCATGATCGATACCAAGGTCGCCGGTATGTGCTGGGTTGAAGTCCCTGCCGCCAAGTACAGAATGATCAACGTGCGAGAACGACATTCAAACTGCCAGATTGAGGCACAGGTGCATTACAGCGACCTAATTGCCCATCAATCTGAAGGCGAGTGGGCAAAGCTCGCGCCCCTCCGCATCCTCTCTTTCGATATCGAGTGCGCTGGCCGCAAAGGTGTTTTCCCTGAGGCGAATGTGGACCCCGTGATCCAGATTGCGAACGTCGTTACAAGATACGGAGAGGATAAACCTTTTGTCAGGAACGTCTTTTGTCTGGACACCGTTAGCCCTATCGTTGCGACACAAATTCTGTCCTTCCAAAATGAGGGCGATATGTTGATGAAGTGGCGCGACTTTGTCGAAGAGGCCGATCCGGATGTCATCATTGGCTACAACATCAACAACTTCGATTTCCCATATTTGCTAGACCGTGCCAAACACCTCAAGCTACAGAAGTTCCCATACTGGTCTCGTCTCAAGACGGTGCAGTCCAAGGTAGAGACATCCAACTTCTCCAGCAAACAGTTGGGAGCTCGAGATACCAAAACCACCAACACGAACGGTCGGCTACAACTTGATCTCCTCCAGCTGATTCAGAGAGACCATCAACTTCGAAGTTACACACTCAACTCTGTGTGCGCTCATTTCCTAAAGGAACAAAAGGAGGATGTACACCACAGCATGATTACGGAACTCTTCAACGGTGACTCCAACTCGCGAAGACGTCTGGCTGTATACTGTTTAAAGGATGCCTACCTCCCACAACGGCTTCTCGACAAACTCATGTGTCTGGTCAATTACACGGAAATGGCTAGGGTTACAGGTGTGCCGTTCAACTATCTTCTGGCCAGAGGACAACAAGTGCGCTTCATCAGTCAGCTGTTCCGAAAAGCCATTGATCATCAGCTGGTTGTCCCGGATCTTCCAAACCAAGGCGACAACGGCGATCAGTACGAAGGTGCAACTGTCATTGAGCCCAAGCGTGGTTATTACAAAGAACCTGTTGCCACTCTGGATTTCGCTTCACTGTACCCCAGTATCATGCAAGCTCACAATCTTTGTTACACAACATGGCTCGATAAGCAAACGGTGGAGAAGCTCAAGATGAAGAAGGATGAAGACTACATTGTGACTCCGAACGGCGACATGTTTTGTACAGCCAAGACACGCAAGGGTCTCTTGACGGAGATTTTGGAGGAACTGCTGGGTGCACGTAAGAGAGCGAAGAAGGAGTTGGCGGTCGAGACGGACCCTTTCAAGAAGGCCGTGCTTAACGGTCGTCAGTTGGCCTTGAAGGTCAGCGCCAACTCCGTCTACGGTCTGACTGGTGCCACCAACGGAAAGCTTCCCTGTCTTGCAATCGCCAGTAGTACCACCAGTTTCGGTCGTCAGATGATTGAGAGGGCCAAAGCTGAAGTCGAAGCAAAGTACAACATTGCCAATGGATACTCGCATGACGCAGAAGTCATCTACGGTGACACGGATTCGGTCATGGTCAAGTTTGGAACCTCCGAACTAGCAGAGGCAATGAGACTGGGCGAGGAAGCGGCGAATTACGTGACGTCCAAATTCCTCAAGCCCATCAAGCTGGAGTTTGAAAAGGTCTACTTTCCCTACCTGTTGATCAACAAGAAGCGATATGCCGGTCTTTACTGGACGAACCCGAACAAATGGGACAAAATGGACACCAAAGGTATTGAGACGGTCCGTCGAGACAATTGTCGACTTGTTCAAACCGTTATTGAGACTTCATTGCGCATGTTGTTGATCGACCAGGACCCGGAGGGAGCGCAGGAGTAAGTTGTGTGAATCTGAAATCGAGTTCCCATACTAACGAGAAGCAGGTTTGTCAAAGAGACCATTGCAGACCTTTTGCAGAACAAGATCGACATGTCCAATCTTGTCATTACCAAAGCCCTCACGAAGCAGGAAGACAAAGACGGCAAGGGTGGTTATGCCAACAAGCAGGCTCACGTGGAGCTCGCAGAACGTATGAAGAAGCGTGACGCTGGTTCTGCGCCCGCTCTCGGTGACCGTGTCGCCTACGTCATGGTCAGGGCCGCGACCGGAGCAAAGAACTTTGAAAAGTCTGAGGATCCAATCTATGTTCTGGAGAACAACTTACCCATCGATACGCGTTACTACCTCGATAACCAGCTCGCCAAGCCGCTGGGCCGAATCTTCGAACCTATCTTGGGTGAAAAGAAGGCAGCTTCGCTTCTTACAGGTGAACATACACGATCTATTTCCGTCGCTGCACCTACCATGGGTGGTCTTATGAAATTTGCGAAGAAGACGCAGACCTGCATGGGATGCAAGAAGCCTCTTACCGCTGCACATGAAAAGGAAGGTGCAGTCTGCGAGAACTGTCGACCTCGTATTCCTGAATTGTACACAAAGACCCTGACCAAAGTCAGCGAGCTAGAGGTCCGCTTCTCTCGTCTTTGGACACAATGTCAGCGTTGCCAGGGAAGTGTTCACTGCGAGGTCATCTGTGCATCGAGAGATTGTCCGATTTTCTACATGCGCATGAAGGCAAGGAAAGACGTCGAAGATGCAGGCAAGGAGTTGGTGCGATTTGACAAAGACGCGGCGCTCTGGTAGTCACGATGTTGTTCGCTCTCGGTAGCAGCGAGGCGTTTTGGTGTTTCATGATCTGTCAATCCACGTGTACAACAGCGGTGGTATGTGTTTAGATTAATTTATAGCGATATCCGTATGAGTAGGTTTAGTAAAGAATTACATGGCTATCTCAATGTTGGCTTTGTTTTACATGGCGATGGCAATGTCTTTTTTTCATGTTTGTTGCTACAAAGCGTGGTATATTGTCAGTCAGGATGTTGCGATTATCTCCTATGTTATCCCTCAAAGTACATCCCACACATCTGCCGAGTCAAACACATTCATCATCTCCGCCTCCCACGCAGCTATCCCATACTTTAAATTTCCTCGCCACATCTCTCCCCGACACCTTTATCGCAAAACGCCATGAATACCCTTCACCTGCATACGACCACGCCCACCACCACCACCACTAACCCCATTCACATCAACATCCTCCGCACCACTATTCCCCACATCCCCCTTGTCCAACCTCTCCAACCCCCCAACAAACATGTCAAGATCCCGCAGAAACAACTGGAACAACACGATTTCCTGCTGCTGCCGTAGCAAACTCGCCACCATTTGCTTCGTCTCGTGCAGCGATGACGCGCACATTGCCGTCGCACTCGTGAAAGGCGCATACGCACTGCTATATGCGGTGTAGCGTGTGGAATACGTGGTTTTAAGTAGATCTTGATATGCGCGCATGGTTTGGAGGAGGGATGGCGTGGGTTTTGCATGGGGCGTGGAGATGGCGTGGAATGGTGGTGTGGCGGTGATTCGCTTGTTCATTTTTGGGTGGTTTAGTTTAGGGAGAGGTAGTGGTGTGAGAGTTTACTTTTCAAATGTAGAGGGAGAGTTGGTGGTTGGCGTACATTGGGAAGTATCGGTGTGCATTGATTGCGTGTTTGTGGGGTTGAAAGGGGGAAAGTGCGTGTGATGGAGAGGGAGGGCGTGAGAAGTGGATGTGAAGATTGTGGTTTGTTTGCGGCGGGTTTCATGCAGTTGTGGCTCTGGTAACGTCTACTGTTTAGCATCCTTGCCTACTTGAATATTTTTATGTCTACATTTGGAACTGGTTGTTGTTTTCTTTCTCCTCGTTCCGGAGGTGCAGGTACCGTCCCAGATTAGAACACTTAACACTTTCTCTATCTTCATCCTCGTATAGCAAGTAGATATTAATAGCTAAATGCTGATAGATACGAATAGTTACTAAGATAAATATACTACGCCAAGGTGAAAGGCCTAGATGCTTTGTTGTGAAGGAAATCACATGTCTTGGATGCTTTTAGTTACGCGCTTTTATCGACATAATGGACAAACTGCGGAGAAGTGAGCTACATACCCGGGAAGACGGGACGGGCCGAGGCGGCTGTATGTAGGCCGGTGGGTGGGTAAAGTTTACGCAAAGGTGGGTAGAAGTTGCTAAGCCCTGGATAGAGGTAGAGGTTGGGTTGCATAGACCAGGTGCCTGCTGTCTCTTTACATATCACTATTTTAGACTTTGGTTCTAAAGAAAGCAAGAGGACATTACCAGACCCCATAGACATATACTATGACCAGACTAAAGCACTGACAGAAGCCAGCCTGCCGGTATGTAGCGTGTGTATGAATCACGTGACCCTATCGGCTTGGCATGTACGAAGAGGGCTACGGCGCTCCCCTCGAGTATCAGAGGCGAGGTTCCACTAGTATTTGCAGAAAGAGGAATGGGTAGCTTGGGAAGTAGATGGATTCAAGAGGGTATTGTCCATAGAGCATCCGCGGGCGAAGTTCCGTGCCCCACGAAACCCGGCATGGGGTCCTAGCAACGCTAGGTGATTTGAGGGGTTGGTGGCTTTTGGTACATGGCTGAAAACGGAAAAAATAGCCAATATTACCTGAATGCAAATCCATCCAAGATCAACGCCAGAACATGGCCTTTACATACCTAACAGCTGGAATCTTTTACGGCAGAATCACAGTAAATGTAGGAAATTGATTGAAGGATCCGGAATCTAGAATCTATAATTCTTCAAGTATGGCGCATACAATTTGTAGTACAGCACGTAGGTACAAGTCGCTTGTTCTCCATGTCCAGCTTTACCAGCTTACGGAGAAGGTGGGGAAGATTGAGGGGAAGGGGCGGGAGAGGGTCAATTTAGCGCAGTCTGTCACTCGCCTATCCTTGTTACACGACCGATATCATATACCGAAAGGTTACATGCAAGTGCCGTTTACACAGAACCCTGTCTTCGGCCTCCTAGACATCAGAGCTAAGCAGGGAAGTGGTAGGTATAGATAGTGAGGTGCGCCGCTCACTGGTACGTGTTGCTTCGTCGGCATCATAAACCGAAGAATCTCATACAATTGCCGTTTACAGACAACCCCATTATCCATTATCCCAGTATCAGAGCTAAGCGAGTAGCTCCAATTACAAAGTCACGCGGCTGTATACGTATACACCGGCACTAACTGGAACTCTTATTTAAATTGTCTCTTGACAGCATTCTTGGTGGTATGCCATTGAACCCAATTACTTACTCCCGTGTTTCCATTTCATGCACAAATTAGCAATGAATCCTCCCGACTTTTTTTCCTCGAAAGGACCTGAGAATTCAGTCGCCTTCATAGATGGCAGAGTCTACACCATGAACCAGGCACAGCCGTGGGCGGAGGCTTTCATTGTCAACTCAAAGGGCGTGTTTGAAGCAGTTGGTTCAAATGCTGAAATCAAGGCGATCGCCAAGAAGAGGAGGTTGATTCAGTATCAACTAAAGAGTAAATTCGTTATGCCCGGTATACATGATGCCCATACGCATCTCCCGTGTGGAAGCATGCAGCGTCTGGGAGAGGCACACATTGGGTTTAACAGCTCCAGTAACAACATGGCACACGACCTAGAGCATGCGGGCTGTGCTTGTGCGTACTCGAATGTCATGGGCGACTGGATCATTGGAAATTTCTACTCATCAGAAAACTTTCCTGACGGCATCCCCGATCGCAAATACCTAGACGAAAAATACCCAGACGTCCCCGTGATGGTGCGCGAGGTTTCATGCCATCGGGTTCTGCTCAACACCACAGGGCTTAAACGGGTAGGACTCAACAGAGACTCACAAGCGCCACACGGCGGCTCCTTGCCACGACGCCCGGATGGAGAGTTGACTGGCGAGGTTATCGAAGGAGCTATCGGAATGGTGTTCCTTGCCTTGCCTAGAACCCTTCTCGGCTACGTGAAAACCGCCCTGGAATTCGCGATTTCAGAGTGCCACCGCTACGGCATCACCTCTGTGCAAGAAGCTTCGGCAAACACCTTATACCTACACGCCGTGAAGGAGCTTGAATCGGAGAATCGACTTCCGCTTGACATCAGCACACACATAGTCTGTGCACCGGAAGGACCAGCATTGGAGCCTCGGGAGCGACTAGCCGCGCTTTTGAATGTTGCTGAAGCCTTTGAAAGTGAGCATGTTCACAGTGACTTTGTAAAGCTCTTTCTGGACGGAGCCCCTCTGCCGCCTAACTCAACACAAAGTGATCTGGACGAGAACGGCAAGCCTGATGAAACGCATCTGAACCTTACTTTTAACGAGCTGCTGGATTACCTCGTGCAATATGATGCCAAGGGGATGACATGCAAGGTGCATGTAGCTGGGGAGGGAAGTGTGCGCAGGGCACTCGAAGTCATGGAAGAGTTGCGAAAGAGAAATCCCAATGGTCCTCAACACGAACTTGCACATTGCAACGCAGTGCACCCAGGTGAATAAACCAGTCCAACTGGATTGAAATACGCAATGCTTAATCATTGTTCCAGATGACATTGCGCGCTTCGCGCCGGCGAGACTCACTGCAGAAATGTCGCCCGCCATATGGCACTTTCCGATTGCTGCCACAACACCAAAGCTGTTCAAGTGGCCGTTCAACGAGATGTTAGCGACAGGAGCCAAACTCACCATTGGATCCGACTGGATTTTGACCTTGAATCCAAGCTTGTTTGATGCTCTTGCTCATCTAGTTGAGCGCATCCAAGGTCCAAACATGCCGAAGCCGGACAAAAAGGCGGCAGGAGAGCTACTATGCCGTATCATTACCATGGGAGGCGCAGAAGCTGTTGGCAGAAGCCATATCCAGGGTAGCATCGAGGTCGGGAAGAAAGCCAATTTCATCGCCGTGGACAGGGATTTAAGTGCGGGAGAATTCGCAGGAGCGAACGTTTTAAAGACTTGGTTCGAAGGCCGACAAGTGTACAGCTCTGTCGCTGGAGAGATGGCTATTGCGTAATGTTAGTGGCAAGCAAGCAGTGCTAAAGCTTCGCCTCATAACATTATTTGAAGATCACATTTCACTGTTTGTGGAGTAGATAACGTATTACTTGAATTATTATGATCGTATATACGGAAGTTGCTTGCTTTATGAGTGATTTCCAAGCAAATTGATCGCCACCATACCTCATACTTCATTCGCCGCAGATCCTCGATACTCCTGCTCCAATGTCGTTGTAACTGTTATTCTTTTACTTTCTGCCGCAAGCTCTTCTTGGCTGCTCTTTGTGTCGTCCCACCATGTATTAGGCTTAGAAGGTGTCTTGCGAGAGGTACTGACGGTTACAGATCGCATCTTGATCGCATTCAGGTTGTTGGAGGCTTCGCGAGAGCCATTGCGAGGGTGCTGAAAGTATCCGTGTCTGTCAGAAGAGACATGAGGTGTCTGGGTGCTACGATATAGAACCGCGAAAGCAGGACCGCACCCGATACAAAGAGCGACGCTTGTCTCGATAATCGTCCAAAGAGCGATCCAAGCCGGGCTTGGAAATTTGTTAGTTCCAGCTGTATCGCCTATCTGAACGACACGCAAAGTCGCAAAAGCAATGCATACGAGGCCAGAGGCGAACAGTGCAATAATGGCTATCTTTTGGCCGCGCGCAATTCGGAGGTTCCAAACAAGTCGGATCGGTAGAAACATAACTATTCCTGTTAGTTTTAATCATTGCATAGTCGTGTTGGGGACGCACTCATAAAATCCGATGCGATATCTACGGCATAAGAAGCGTAGAGACAGGCAAGCTGACCACGAACACTTCGCTCATTTTTTGGGCAATCTCCCATGCTCAAAGTCGCTATAATGTCAGGGCAAGAGGTGGCATAAGAGACGAAACAGCCAACAAGGCCCTGCTAAGCGTTAGTCAGAGCAAAGCATGTAGAATGGCATACTTACAACGATACAAAAAGTCAAAACCGCCCACCAAAGCCGCATGTATACTGCGGGCAGGCCATTCATCAACTTCTTGTAGAGTGCCAGCAAAGATAACTTTACGGACCACAAGGACAACCAAAATAAACCTGTCGTCACAAAGCTCATCCGAATGCAAAGAACAACATCAGCCATCATGTCTGGCCATGGCGCTATTTGCCCCTCGTTGACCTTATCCATTAAGATTATTACAGGGGCGACGATAACGTAACAGATGGACATGGCAAGGAATAATACAAACCCTGCATAGAGGAGGTAATCCTGTAGTTCGAGTGCCCTTCGCTTCCATATCTGGATGCCGATGCGCGCAAACACGAAGAGCGAAGTAAATACTATGAGGGGATAGGCAGCTTGGTAGAACTGGTCTTTTGAGATGGAAGTCATTATTGCGTTTTACACGAAGGAAATTATGTGGAGAGAATGATCTGAAGAGGAAAAAGAAAGTTTTTCCACTTTGGTCGCTGGTGAAATTGCTGGATACATATTGGACACTGGTACATTTGACACTATTTTCACAGGTGACTCTGTCAGGAGAAATCAGCCTCATAATCGTTGCTAGCTGGACAATGACTCGATTTTGAACTTGTGGCTTTGGGAGGGATTGTGGCACGGTTTATCCGCGGTGGATGCGTTTCGCAAGGGATGAACACGGCTCGGTAGAGGATAAAGATTAGGGAATCCCTCTCACTATTTATGACGCGGACTGTATACTATCAGCCTCAAAACCGCTAGGAGTCAGCTCTCATTTCAAATTTGTTATCAGCTAGCTTTTTCTTCGGAGAGTAGGCACGGGGCTCCGCGGATTGTGTCGACTGCATGGCAGGAACTCGACGCATGTATTCCCCGTATCCAAGAACTTTTTGCGATGCAGGTGCAAATGATAGCATAAATGTAAGTTCTGCATCTTGCCGCCAAGCTTGCAGTTGTTGAGGCACGTGGTTGGCTGTCGCTTCGAACGTTTTGACGAAGATGCAGGAGATCGCTGTGCAATGTCACAGAAAGGGCGCGCGCCAAGATCATCTCATGTGGAGATCTGCAAAGGCACGCTCGTTTCTACGCCACGAAGTAGGCCCCCCACTTGCCAGTCCGAAAGACTTGCCTATTCAGGCACAGCTTACAATGTACCTCTTATTGTCCTCGAATACACCAGGGCTTCTAGATCTTTCATTCCAGAAACCTTATTTTGGTTCACTCGACTTTCTGGCGTTGTAGCAGCAGGTGGAATTACTCAACATGGTCAGCTGCAGCTCTGTGGGGTGGCCATTCACGGAATAGCAGACTGATGCTACCTCCATCAGTGTTAAGTACATGGGCAGGAAGCAAAGAGCTGGGGATAATCATATTGATCGGCATATCCACTCGCGATATGGATGGCGCCACGGGAGTATCCCGTGGCAAATTCGCACATCAATCTGCCGATCAACTTGTTGGACCCCAACCTGAACGCGTATATGTACGGTCCGATTTCCCAGTATTCTTGGAACTATTGAAACCGGGACCATGAGCATCCAAGAGCTGAGAGCTGAAAGATTCCAGGAAATACTCGCAGCCACGCTGGGCACACGAACAATGGAAATGGAAGGGAAATACAGCTCGCAACATACCGCCTGTTTCGCTACTGCTAGGTCGACAGAAATTACCGTGGTGCATAAACGAGGCAATATGTAAGGACTCCAGCGCACTAGTCGTCGTGCCCATGCCCATCCAGGAGCCTGGCCCATGGTGCGTCAAAATCCATACTTGCGATAAATAACGCTCTACAGTAGACCTGAGTTATAGGACTATTTTTGCGTACCCGGATAAACCTCCTTAGCAGTGGCTGCATGTCAGCTTTACCCACCTGAGAGTGGATGCGTGCGGATCAACATTGTGGTTTGACTCGACGTATCGATTTTCCCCCACTTCCGACGCCCATGTGGAATGTAGAGGGCCAATTTGTTGACCTGTGTAACCACTTAATCCCGGGCGGGGATAAAGACCAAGAAGAAATAAATGAAGTGTGATCCCCTAGCGCCAGGCCATCCCCAACGTCGCCACAAAGTCTTACCGGTCACTGCGGACTCTCCCCTGGATCGTTCCGCAGGTATTTGTCACATCGCATTTGGGGCCTTAAACTTTCTGACAACGCTGGTACTTGCAGTGCAAGCATGAAGTTCCTCGTTTCACTTGCTGCCTTGCTGGCAGTTGGACTGGCCGAAGACCCGCTTGAGCCGGCCGACTTTGATGTCAGAGCTGCCTTGCAGGCCGAGGGTGTTGACGTCTCAAACATACCCAATTCCGCGAAGAGGGCGGATAGTGCCTGTTCCGCCGCAGTACGTATTAGACGTTGAACGACCGTGTTGAACCACGCTAATACATTCCAGTGCGATATACTGGAGAAGACTTTTGGCGATGGCTCGGTCTTGAAGGAATCCAGCCCTGCATACAAGACGTTTACTCAATCCTACTGGTCTGCCCAGCAGAGAAATATCACGCCAGGATGTATCTTCAAGCCTGAGCAGAGGAGGGATGTTTCAGTTCTCGTTCTGGTTTCCAGGCTCATGGGCTGTCCATTTGCTGTCAAGAGCGGTGGACACTCAGCAGTACCTGGAGGATCCAACGTGCAAGACGGCATCACTGTTAGCTTCGAGCGGATGAACAGAACCACTCCATCCGCTGATAAAAAGAGTGTCACATTTGAGCCTGGTCAGACTTGGGTCGATGTGTACAGGAAGCTAGAACAGGACAAGCTGGCCATCATTGGCGGCCGAGTAAGAGAGGTGAGACCAGGGCAAAGAAACACAATGCTGACTATTTTTAGGCTGCCAGTGTCGGTGTCGGAGGCCTGACTCTCGGTGGAGGTACGTCCTGTTTCAGTCATTGAATGATTTCCACAGGCTAAGCATATCCAGGTATCTCTTACTTCTCGAGCATGTACGGGTTAGCATGCGACAATGTCATTTCGTATAAATTGGTCACGGCGTGTGGTAAAGTGATCAATGTCGACAAGGACTCATATCCTGACCTCTTCTTCGCGCTGCGAGGCGGCGGCAACAACTTTGGTATCGTCACCAAATTCAACGTGGTTGCCATCGCCAGAGATCCAATCATGTGGGGAGGCACGCGAACGTACACCAGCAGGACCTTTCCTGCTCTTCTCAAGGCATACTACAACCTTGGGCTGAACGCAACCAAAGACGGAAAGGCGCACCAGATTCTGTCATTCGCCTGGGCTGGAGGCGAGATTGGCCCAATAGCGGTTGTAGAGCTGGAACACGCCGACAAGGTGGAAAACGCGACCGTCTTGAGCGAGTACAATGCCATTAGTAGGGAAGAAGCAGTCCAGTACAACACGAGCTTCAAGAGCCTTGTCCAGCTCACCAGCGAACTGGGCGAGACGGCCGCCGCTCCTGGCCTTCGCCAACAGTTCTGGACCTGGACTTCCAAGCTTGACCTCGACCAGGCTACGAGGACCAAGGACATTTTCTACGAGGAGCTCAATAAAATCGCAGAGTTTACTGATATCTCGCCTGCGCTCTCCCTCCAAGTCATCACGGAGCCCATGATCGAAAAGACGGCACGGAACGGGGGGAACCCGCTAGGTCTCGATCCCCAAGACGGCCCTCTGATGCTGTCGCTTGTTTCAATCCGGTGGACCAAGGCCACGCATGACCAGACGGTGCACGACTTTGCAGAAAAGGTGCTGAAACGGTGCGTGGCAAGTGCCAAGGAAGCAGGCACGTCGACAGATTACCTGTACATGAACTACGCCAGCCCGTGGCAAGATGTGATTGCCGGTTACGGCCCCGAAAACAAAGCCAGACTGCGGGACGTGGCCAACAAGTACGACCCCACCAGCGTGTTTCAGCGACTGCAGCCGGGCTACTTAAGCTCGACGGACCACCGTCTACCTGAGTTTCTGTCGCGGTTTCACATGTCCTTGTCAGGTGGTTTTGGTTTCGAGACTCGTTTCAAAGCCACTTACATGCAGTTACGGGCATCGTATCAATCCCAGTATCCATCCATCCATCCATACATACATACATACATACATACATACATCCCTCGATGTTTTAATGTAACGTACTACACCAGTGAGGCGGCCAAACCAGTGAGGCGGCCACTTTTTCTTGGCACTGCGAACACGACAAAGAATACATTATGTCTCTACAACGTAACGCTATCTTATCGTACAAAGAAGGCAGGATTAACCTTACGCTTTAGGCCTTTACTACTAGCTAATTTAAGACTTTGCAACGTGCTGCAGCAGCCTATAGCATATAATATTAGCAGCTCTCTAATTAGCTTTATAGAATTACTAATTAACTTAATACACAACCTAGAGTCTAAAAGCTTACTATAGCAGAGGAATAGACTATTGTATAATATATTCTTAACCTTAACGCGCGAGGATTTGCGCCCTAGCTATGTAAGGTAGTAGATATTGCTAATTAATTGCTAGCTGCTTATAGTAGGGTACCTATTAGTAAAAACTAGGCTTAGCGCTTTATTACTTATACAAAGGAGTTTAAGATAGCTTTTAATTAAGCAAAGGACTATTAGAGAGCCCTTTAGGAAGACTTAGAGGTTATTAGCTTATAGTTTAAGCTTGTACAAGATACAATTAACTAGTTTAGAGTCTATCTAGATAATATCTGTAACGGGCTAGGTAGCCCGCTACAGTACAGATAGCGGTGGCTATCTTATGTATCAACTACGCAACGATATCAGCAGCTCTGATATCTTGTGCCAGCCTTTTTGGCGCGGTGGGCGCGTTGTAGTTGCGTGCGCAGTCTAATAGGACTCGACCCGTTACAATATCTACAACTTTAATAAGACTAGCTTCTAGATAGGCGTTATTAGCTTAATAAAGGTTATTACTAGTTTAGAACGTTATACAAGACTAAATCTTATCTAGCTAGGGGACTAGGAGTAGGTAATAGTTATCTAAGGCATCTATGCTACTAAGTATGCTATTCTACTATTTATTATCTACAAAAAATACGTCTACATCTCTGCATAGTACAAAGAGCAAGATATCCTATATAATTAGAAAATTTTAGTCTTAGAGAATAGCTAGACTAATAATTAGCTTAGTCTTAAGTAGTTAAAGCACTTTAACGCGCATACAAAGACGCGTTAAAAGGGGTTATATAGGCTGCTAATCTTAGATAGGCACAAGAGCTACCTTAATAAGGATTTTAAGGAATACTGCCTTATACACAAGATCCTTACGCTCTATATGCCCTCTTACTTATCGCACATCCTTTAGCCACTTAATGTAGTGTGTTTCTTGCTGTTAAAATTAAAGTACTCTTAACGCGTACAAGACTTAGCACGCTAACGCGTTTACTATATTAATAAGGCTTCCTTCTTGTAACGGGCTAAACGCCCTTCGCCTCCCATACTCGTCTACGACCTCGTTTACTCCACCTGCCCGGCCCGATTGTTACCCTAGCAACCAGCATTGTATATAGATAGCTACGTAGCCGAGAGCTTAGCTCTCTATCGAATACAATCTTGTTACCTTGGCCTGTCCGATCGTGCTCCCGAGCTTAAGACTACCCTCCGGGGTCGAGCCCCTTACAGT